ACCAGCCGTGCCCAAGTTGTAGAGGGTGCTGACTGCAGGGATCCACTCCATCACTCTGAACACGCGCTCCTCATTTTGGTTGATGCACGTCCCCCGGAGGCCGCGTCGCAGCCGTCGAGCAGAGGCGCCGGTGGATGAAAGCTCTGCGTAACACTGACGGATCCAACAGTCGGTGGCTTGCGAGGGTAGGATGCGACTGCCTTTCTTGAACACCGCCTGATATCGTCCGGGGAGCCCACCGCTTGTGACCCCGGCGGTATCCATAGCCTTCTCCAGCCCGCTGTGAGCATCCTGGACAACGACTCCAAGCAGCATGGTTCCATTAACCCTGGTCCAACCGTCGCAATTTTGCATCGGCTTCGCTCGTCATAAAACCTTTCCCACCGGGGCCAGCTGCTGAACGTTAAACAGAACGGGACAGACCCAGAAGCTCCTGTGGGAACTTGGAAGAGAAAGGGTCATCAAGACCGCTGGCTGACAGCAGCTCCCCACAGCTTATATTCCTCACACTGGAGAGATGTGGAATCGAGCCTTGTAGCTTCGCTTTGAGGAGAGATACCATACGTTTGGCTGAATTTAGGCGCTTCTCTGCAGGTCTAAGAGTTGATTCAGAATCTGGCTCTTCTGCAACGGGGAGACCAAATTGTGGCTGCGTTGGTGGATCTATTCGGCCCGTCCCGCCTGCTCTAAGAATTCCACGCGGAGAAGGCTGCACCTTGCACAGTGCTTGTTCATTGAGCAGAAGCAGGACTACAATCAGCCACTTCGACTTGGAGGTCATCATTCCGCTGTTATACTAAAGTACACAAACAGAACATATGCAGTCAACTTCCTGTCAAATACTCCACAGCAGATCCGGGACCAAGTTATTTGGACTATGCTATTAGGAAAACAAACAAAAAAAAAAAAACTAGCACAAATATAGTTGTAGGACAATAATGCAATTACCAGTCGTCCTAAAAAGTTCAAGCATATTGTGTTTTCAAACGCAACCTACCTCAGTTAATAGAAGCAGAATCCGCACAGTGACTGGACTAAGACTGAGAAGACTGCCGATTGTAGGATTCTTCTGTGTCCCCTCCACGGGTTTGCCTAAAATTCCAAGCAATCTCTTCCCAAGCCGCCAATGAGAATCCCCATCCTTTACCGGACATCCCACAGCCCTCCTCCTTCGGCCTCATCTGTCTTTTCAGCTCGCTCTTCTCTTTGCTCACAAAGGAGATGAGGTCTGGAATATTGATTCACGTGGGGAAAAGTCCATGTGTTGCAAAGGCAGTTTTGTTTGTTTGCCTCGCTTGCCTCTCATCCCCCTCACCAGGTTTTGTTTTTGACCCAAATACTTGAAAGCACTCTCCCCTCATGCCGCCAACTAATTTATCTCCCACAGGATGAAAGGGAAGTGTGGCAAATGGAGGCTAAGTGGGGTGAAGGTCCTCAAATTGGATGCACTCCCTCATGTCTCTGTCTGTGTGTGTGTGTGTGTGTGTGTGTGTGTGTGGTGTGTGTGTGTGTGTGTGTGTGTGTGTGTGTGTGTGTGTGGGTGAGAGAAACCTTCATGGTCAATGCACAGAAACACATTATTTATATGTCAACACATTTTTGGTATTTGCAATCATAAGAAAACAGTCATATAGCATGTGTCAATCAAATACACTTTATTGACAGTGATTAAAGTACCATTCGTTGCAAATAGCCTGACCACACACTCTTAAAAAAAAAAAAAATCAATTCAAAACATCAATACTATCATTAATCCACAGCAACCATAATTACAGTACTGTACACCGTTCCCTTAAGAGAGTTACTTGAATGTCATCGGAAGCAGATTGTCATGAAAACAAAATGAATTTTGATGGTGACAAAATTTGAAATGCTTGTAGTAGCCGTATCGAGCTGGCTAGGGAAGATGCAGGTACTTAAGAAATACGATTTGGCAAATGATAGACAAATTACATCGATTATATAGATCATATAGAATATGCGGCTGGCAAGCTGCACATTTGCAGTCCTACATGTAAATAAACACCCTCGAACCGCTGCCTCTAATTGTTCAAAAGGCCTGGCTGTTCCCGTTCTTATCAGTCTTAAATTTGCTTTAGCAGAAATGAACTTGCCAAATGAATGTAGTTTGACAAATGTTGCTTCCTCGCAAGATGAACAGAGAGCACGTCTTGCATTTTGCCTACGATTGAGACTCTTGAAAAGCAATCATGTACAAAAACTGGTTATGTTCGCGCGCGCACACACACACACACACACACACACACACACACACACACACACACACACACACACACACACACACACACACACACAGGAATTTAAGTGAATAGCTTGTGTACTTTGGGACGAAACAACGTTTTGTTGGTACGGTTCCTAAAGGCATTTGAATAGGTACCCACGCACGTTTAATTTCAGTGAGAAAAATAGCTAAGTAAGCGGCTAGGGTGTTTTTTCGTTTGTTTGTTTGTTTTTTTTTAGAAAAATACATAACAAATGACATTTATTTTTCATTTCAAAGAAAAACAGTGTCTGCCACATCACAATATTAAAGAATGAGTATCTTCGGTTTGACAGTTGAAGTTGCACAAGTTACAAAGGAAAAAAAAATGTGTCGACCACATTATTTTAAAGATTAATAACACTGCAGGAAAAAAAAAAAACATGAGAAACGCTCACAAAGTCAACCATCGGCAAGGCCGGGGGCTCATCATTGGAAGTATTGAAGTCATTCACCATAAACCCTCGCCGCAAATTCACGTGTGCGGCCGACACATGCCAACTAACCCACTGCGGGCGAACCAACGGAGATGCGACACGTGCTGAGTGCAAGTTAGTCTCTTTTCAACAAGTAGTGCAACCCAAAAGCATTTGACATGGCTGGTTTAGTCGAGGCCTTCTTTTCTTTGGAAGAATGGGCCAGTGGAAAGATTTGTTTAACCTCCAGAGACGGATCAACATCCTGAAAGTGTGCAGTCGAGCGAGAACGTTCCGTTTTCTTCATCTGATCAGACAAACAGACGTTCGGAGGGTGTCCAGCAACGTGTGGTTGTGGACGGAAGCTTGAGAGAATTTAGCGAGCAAAGTGCAACTTTGGGGTTTGTTATAATACGCTTCATCAATTTTTTGATCAATAAAACGTGTCTGTGTGATGAACTTTTTTTTCTTCGCCGTTTGAAGTGTGTTTACTGTTTCTAAAAGTGCCCTAAATTGTCTGTTACCCATTCAAGAAGACAAGTTTGCTTTTGGGACAAGGGATAGTGAAATTAACTAGACAGAGTTGAAAGAAAAACTGGAGAGGTGGGGCAGGGTTGTGTTCCACACTCATGTTTGTTTGCAGCCTGTTGTGTTCAACACAATTATCCGACTCCAGTATGTTATGTGGCTATGTGGCTGCCCACAAAATTGTGGCAAATTGCATTGGCGGGTTCGATGCAAAAGGCAACTAAATGTCGGATGTTGTTATTGCTTGATGCACTACTTTTGCGGGATAATCTGCACCTAAAACGTCTGATAAAAAATAAATAAATAAAAAAAGTGAAGCACTTCCAACAACGTGAATGCTACAGAAAGATGGAATTAGCCACGTTTCGCTTAAATTACCTTTAAAAATGTTAGCAATCGATGATAATCTATGTGAGGACACCGATGTTTCTCACGATAATGATCAGCGACTTTACAACGCAGGAAACTGATCATTATCAATCCGCAACACTTCATATCAGTCTTCAAATGAGCACACTTCAACGACATTCCTAGGAAATCCCTATTTCCCATCGCTAGTGAGCCATCTTTACAACAGGCCCGCAGGCTGATCACTCTTGGGGGCGACACGTTGCTGACGCCCGGTATAAACCTACACCGCAGTGCGGTGGAAAGTGCTTGGAAACTGGGAAAGCTTCCATTCTCTGCTGGTGGTCCGCACCGCTTCTATATTCAGTCCAAAATCAGTCATCCGTTTCATTTTTTTTTTTTTTTTTTTGCTTCCGGTGTGTGCATTTAAAAGTGTAACTTTAGCTTTGCTTTATTTTGGTTCCATTTCGCCCCCGGCATGTTGTCTACTTGGACGTATCGCAGTCATACCGATCATCCGGCATTTAAGGGTGGTTAGATTGTGTCCAGATTCTTTTGTTCAGGAAAACATGTTCAAAGGCCCAGCCCTCAAGCGGAACTATTTGAGATCTTAATGGAGTAAGGGTCATGCATGATGATCTGTGCGAACAATGGTGGGTCATTCTTTCTATGTGACACTTGCTGCAGCTAACGCAACGGTTTGTTTGCTTAGTTCAAGGCATTGGAACAGTGACGCAAACAAATGCAAGCATGACCAGGGTTTGTTATCCTAAGAAAAATTTTGAACAATGGCACAATTCTAGCTGGTGTATGCGTGGATAGAAAAGGTGCTTTTATACAATTCAAAAAGAATGCAGCTGATTTAGTCCGCACTGACATGACTTGACAAACTAGAAAGAAAAAAAAAATGTTGACAATGGTGCTGATGTTTGACTATAGTTTCACAGTTGAGGTTATTTATGATGTGTGTCATTAAAACGTGAGCCAACAGATTCTTCATTCGTGATCCGATTGTTTCTCATACCCAATTGGTCCTACCGTTGTTTGCCCGCTGGAGGCGGGTCATCCGGACTCTTGTCACCATTTACACCTTCTTTTTGTTCCTTTTCCTGAGAATCAGCTTTGTTCTCTTTGTTAGCAACAACAGGAGCAGCAGCAGCAGCAGCAGCAGCAGCATCATCATCCTTGGAGTTTGAGCGCACGGAGGTGTAGCCGAGCGGGGTAGGGGGCTGGTAACGGTATTTGTAGCCAAAGGCACGTAGGTGATAGGTGTAGTACTCCAACAAATACATGTTGCTCTCGTGCACATAGTGGAAGGACACAGACAGGTCTGAACAGCAGTTTGGACCCTGGGGAGGAAGAATTACAATAGTGTGGTTACGCGACAGTTAAGACTCATAAAAAATAAACGAATAAATAAATTGAAAATGTTGACAGTAACACACATTTCAAAACTATTCACACAGGTCACCTTTCACCCTGCAAATCTTTACATTGTCATGAGGAGAAATTCAGTGACCATTTTAGCTATAAATGTATTTGTCTTTGCTTATCGAAAAACGTTTATTATTAGTATGAGTGGTAGTCCCCATTATTCATTTCCCCCACTTTTTCGACAGCTATACTTCTAACGTTGTGCATCCTGATCCTACCCCCTTTCAAAAATCTATATCAAAAATAGCATTGTGGATGATGTCAAAAGTTATTTTTGAATATGACGTAGGCTGCTATGAATTGAATGGTGGTCCACTAATGGCCCCTGGGCTGCAGTTTGGACAACCCTGCCCTAAACAGATGACTCAAAATTCCATAGTGGCGGTTGGCAAATGTTTGCCAGTTTTGCACATCCCGGTCTGATGGTACATTGTTCACACTTTACGTAAAGCCTCTCTGTACTTGTGCGTCATGTCCTAAAAATTATTTCTGTTGCGGGTGCTTGTTCCTGCAATTCTAGTTTTGGCTCAACCTATTGGACCAAAAAAGATGTCACCGATTGATAAGGGACGCCGAGGATGCTGGCAGCCTGGCTGGTCGCCTCTTGTGGTTTTGCGCATGGAACATTCTGAGCTAGTTTGTGTATGGCCCTCATTTTTATTGCACTTCGCTCAGAGTTGCCATTTTTGCCTGGAGTCCACGTAGGCTAATCCGACAGCGGCCTCATACAAAGGCACACATTAAAAGAAAGGGAAAAAGAAAACAGACGGGCAGTTGTCAATGCTTGACAACTGTGTCGTTGACTAGCAGATAAAATATTCACAAAAATGTAACACTAATATCACTGTGTGACCCAAAAGTACGTGCACTGGAAAAGATTGCCCTCCCCCTGACCTTGGCTGAAACCCCATTAGGTTGAGACGTCTTTGGAAGAAGCGAGATCAGGGTTGACCAACCAGTCAGAGACTAAGAGGCAATTTTTTTACTGCGCTATTGCAAAGAGCTACACACACACACACACACACACACACACACACACACACACACACACACACACAAACGCACACACATACGAACATAAATACAACCTTAAGACACAAACACACAAATCCCCCCCACCCCACCTTCCATTTCCTCCTCCCACCGCTCGCAGTCAACTTGGGACCAGTCTGCTGGCTCTTGGTTGATTGCGAGCGACGTATTGGGCACCCATGCCCTAAAAACAGAGGTAATTCTCTGACTAGCTTAGCACTTAGCGCCGTTGTCTGCGCAAGAGCGGTGATTCAGTCATCTGATTGGTCGCCCTCTATGTCAATCAAGTAACGGGATTGATGACAGGCTGACGTAGTACGTTCTGTGCATTAAGCACCGTTGTTTGAATGGCAGCGCCATCACCGAGGCTTTTTCAACAATTGTCGTGTGAAAGCCCGGGAATCGCATTGAACCAGCCAAAGCATGCTGCTCGCGAGCCACGGGTTGGCCACGCTTGAGCGAGATCCTCTCAGTCACTTTGGAAAAAGGAGCTTTAGGACACAACATCAGGGAACTTTTGCTCATTGGATTTGATGACCGCGCACTCATGTTACTAATCTACAAATAAAGTCCAAGTGAAGCAAGCCCCCGTCTTGAGAACGTCTCTCCTGTTCAATGAGCTGAGGGAACCAAACATGTGCCTTGGCTCGCTAAAAGTTGGAGAAGCATTCTCACTGGACTCAGGCGACTCATGTCAAGTAATTCTGTATGTTACTTGCCATTGAGATGGGGTAGTAGCAGTAGCTCCAATACCAGAAGCTCTTGGGGAACTCGGCGGTGAGATGCTGCTCGGGGATGAAGGGATGAAATGTCTCCCGTTGGGAAGTGTCTCGGGAGTCTCCTGCCAGCACCCCAACTTTCTCCAGGCACTGGCCCAAAGCAAGATCCTCCACTGAGCTGGTGTGAGTGCACACTTTGTTCTGAAATCCTTCAACAAAGCGTCGCAGGGCCTCTCGACTCAGCACGTAACCCGCACCGCCGCTCATATAGCCTTGCTTGATGTAGGGCTTGAATCTTCGACCAAAATAAACGGGCTCATCCTTGGTGTGGTTAGCAAGCACCCACCGAAGGTTGTCCACGACGACGTAAGTGTCGTCATCTGCTTTGAGGAACCAGTCGGCTTCGTTGCTGTAATGCTCGTGGACGTAATGTAAGGCCCGGATGGTTTTCCAGTAAAGCTGATCACGGCCTTCTTTTGTATCCATACCCACAGCCGGGAAGTCGGGATTGCTTACGGAGCTCACAAAGACGATCACATTGCAGTGCCGACTCCACGTGTCCTTCACATGGCGAGCCTTCGTCTGCAGGTTGGTAGGTGTAGTCATTACCCAGCAAAGAATGCGTACTTTTTTGTACAGTTCATCTGCCATTCGGCTATCCTCATCTGAAAAAAATAGAAAAATAAAAATTGAAGTCAAAACCTTACAAGCTGCAAGGTATAAAAAAGTGACATATGCTCTTCATTTCTTCATTGTCTTGACAAAAAAAAAAAAAAAAAAAATCTGACAAAACTCTTGCTGATTCAAGAGACAGATGATCAAAGTTATTCCTATTTGCTAAATGCCAGCATGAGAGGAGCACATCAATCTTGTCTTCCCTCTTATATATGTTTTTTAAATTATTTTAACTGATTTATTTACCAGGTTTGTTTACCTTTCGAATGTAGTCGGACAAAAAAAAATCTCCGTTCAAGTCCTTTTCCTCAAGCCATGACCACTTGAACGTGTTCCTAACACTTGCGTCTATTCCACATATGTGTAGGAGACTGGACTGTCTCAAAATTGTTGGATTGGATTGGATAAACTTTATTGTCAAATGTACTGTATGTGTAACATACACCACAGATGATTATGTTATTTATTCCTTTGTTGTGTGTTCACAACCCTGCCGATCACTAGAATTTATTTTGTGATTTCCTAGCTTGAATTTCTGTTCTGGTGGATTATTTTCGATTTTCTTCGTGTCATTCAAGTTAGCGGTAATTGACGTTTTTCGAGTAAAACGACAGAAGAGAAGGCAGGAGACGGAGAAGGACGTTTCTGTATTGGGTGAGACTGAAAAGCATAAATAAAGTATCAGTTTTAAAAACCAACATCACAGCTCTCCTTTTTCGGAGCTGCAACATATGTCAGGTTGCCTGTCTACCTGGTGTTACTGTGGAGGGTGTTACTGTTGTATCGACGCCACTCGAGCGAAGCTCGCTTCAGCAGTTGATCGTCCGCTGCTCTCTGCTGTGCGTGCATCAGCGTTAACATGTACGCACGCACGCGTCTTTTGGTTTCAACCAATCAGCGCCGACGTAACCGACGTCACATATCAAAAAGCTTTGAACTACGACAACAGCTAAACAAAGCGAGCCGAGACGACACGACGCTCGAGGTCGGACGGACATGTTTTTCTGCTGTGTGTTTCCCTTTTTGTCCAAATATATATATTTTTTTACGACAACAACTGTCTTGTCCACGGCGTCTTTCATTCGTTCCACTGGGGTTTAGCAAGTGTGGTTATAAAGAGACGAAAATCTCTTTACTGTGACTAGTGTTAGTGCCTCCACATGGCTACGCTTGTGACATCAAAACAACGAACTCAAACGCGTGTTCGTTCAACGTTGTCAACTAATATCTGGATTCATTTTAGGCAATTTTTCCTCAATTTTCAGGAGGAATTTTCATGAAAATTTAAAAATCTGGAATTCCACGAAAATCCGGAGGACTTTCATCTCTGCGAATCGCTACTCAAGCGAACAGAGCAGATATACACACACATGCAGACAAAGGTATGTATGCCTTGATCTCAGCTGGGCCTCGAGACTGACTTGTCGAAAAACCCCTGGAGTTTGAACCAGAGTTTTGAACCACTGTTCTAAAGTAAATGCACTCTTCCTTGAGTATATTTTTGGCAATTCTACCCACCTTTGCTTACTGCTGATGTGGGGAGGCACACTTACCAGAATGATGAGGGTGTTTGAGATTGAAAAGGGCAGATCTCTCTTTCTTCCATCTCTTTTCTTCTTCTTCCTCTTCTTCATGCCGCTGGTGGTCATTGTGTTCAACCAGTTTGTGGATCGGTTGCACAGAGAAATTCTGACTGATGCCCACTTGCCGTAGATAGAGGTAGAGCACGAGGAACCCCACCATGAAACCCATACAGAATGAAATTCTGCACCCCGGGGACTTCATGCTGAGCCAGGTGTGTCGCCGTCAGCCAAGCGCTTGAGGGAAAACCACATAAGTCAGCGGAAGGCCTCGAAAAACTTACACGCGACGTCAGAGGGGGGTTGTCACTTCCCAGTTCTGAAAGGTGTGGTTTATTGAACTTACTAGGCACACGTAGCGTAGACACCATAGCAACTGTTTCCTTCACGGCCACGAAATATCTCCACGACGCGGATGAGGGAAAGACCATTACACCCCAGGTTGCAGGAGTGGTTGTTTCTTCGCTTTGCTAGTCATGTTAAACATGTCACTCCGCAGTAACAACGAGAGGAAGGAGTACGAGCGAATTATCGCCAACAAATCACACGCAGGGATTTAGCAGGACCACGAGTACGGCTGAACATTTTGCTCGAAAGCCTAACTATCGGTGTTAGCTAAGCAGCTACCATTTAAGGCGGCAGAAGTTCACCCAAACGTGGCAGTCTGGCGGAGTAGATGTTTGTCAAGCGCCTCAGCTCGGTGTCATGCTACGCCAATGTTCGGCTGTGAAAATAATCCGAGGAGAAACAAGAGAAGACACTTTTAGCTGCTGAAAACAAGAAGCGGTCAGGGAAAAGGTTTCCGCTTAATACGTGACGTCACGTGGACACGCCCCCTTCGGACATCGTTCGGGCTCTTCTCCTGTTTCACGTTATTCGGCACAAAAATACGTTTTCTAAACAAAACAAAGCAACGTTGAAACTGTATCGACGGAGAGACATAAAAACGACATATCTTTTTTTCCATCGCAAAATTGCATCCATGCACGCGTATCTTGCCCGCGCGTTCCGTTATGTTCATTGTCCCATCCCTACTATACCTAGACGTGCATTATAGTGTATTGCAAGTCTCTTTGTAACACACTGAAGAACGCAATTACGACTTTTTAAATACACGAGGAAACGGTCAGATCTTACCTTCAAAAATAAAAAGACTTTTATTTTCTTTGAATAAAAACAAAAAGAAAAGGATTTTGAGGTAGACATGTACTTTGTTCACAGTGCAACATTAAACAGTGCAAAGTCTTAAAAGTGCTCCAATCCAATTTGCTGAGCCCTCTTTTCAGGTTAGACTTGAGGACTTCTACATCAAAGAGCCCTCAGAGCTGGAATCGGACCCTACATCTTTGCACCGTGCTGCGAACTACCGTGCCGCCAACTGCAGACTACCGAGCACTCAGTGCGTTCGCGTCTCGTGATAGATTTTTTTCAAGGATAACGATTGGCTCAACAGTTGATAAGACGAGATAGGATGACCAAAGGAGACTTGACAAAATCATCTAATTTTCGTCTCGTCTCTGTTTGTGAACTCTCAACAGATTTTTAGCGCAGTCTTCATTTAGTGAACTACATTTTAGTCTCATCTTCATTAGTCCACGAAAATGCATACTGATGTAGTCTCAGTTTATTGTTTATTATTGGGGTTTCAAGTCTTTCTTTCACTATTCGTTAACGAAATTAACACTAGTTTGGGGAAATGGACGTTTACAGTGACCCCCGAGTCTAAAAACATCACTGTTACTGACTCACTGTTTCCCTCGAAATACTAAAGCCAGAAAGTTGCAATTTGAAGGGACTTCAGTTTTATGTCAAGTCTGTGATTTCCTATTTTTCCACAAAATTAAACAACTGAATGACCATCATCTGCGACTGGTGATTCCGTAATTTAGCATTAAATGTCATCAACACTGTATCACCATATGATCCTTGATTAAACAAACAACAAAAACATCGACTGGCACATTTAACACCAGCAAAAAGGTGGTTGAGCACCATTCGGGGTCTATCAGTCCACACGCCCCCTGTCTAGTAATGATCGCAAACAGTCGAGGTTTGCGTTTCACACGTCAAATTAGCTGTCAATAACACAGACAAAATAATACAACATTAAAAGCTGAGTGAAGTCGACCGGACTTCCGTGCTGCTTTTATTTTGAAGACTTTCATATAAAGCAGCTCAGGTGGACCTCATATTTATTTCTTCTGGCACCTGAAGCCAAGAGGTGCAATACAGATCCATGAATGCTACCAAAATGTACACACATTTCCGGTCTTCTTTCAGGGAGCAGGAAGGCAGTCTATTATTGACTCCTATTTGAAGACACTGATTCGCATCAAGATTGCACTCATTACTCAGCTTGAAGCTACCACTAGGGTTTGTGCTCACCCACAACATAAAGAGAAAACAAACAACTAAATTACCCAAAAACTATTATACAGGTCGAGCCATAATTATACACAAGACCACAAATCCAGCCCTTAAAATACACCTCAAAAATGGGTAAAAACATTTTCTTTTGGTAATCTTTCAAAGTTGATTTAAGGCTATTGGAGCCTGTTCTTCCTTGTTGACTTTTAACCAAAAAGGCTTCTTCAGTTTTAGATCTTAAGTCAAATATAGTTGTTGTTGTTTTTTTTTTTTGCCAAGGGTAGCTGCAGAATGACATTCAGTGCACCAGTTGTCAGAAACAAAGAAACCTTTTGGATTAAATGTGAAACATTTCTAACGAGTCTCGGTGCCTCGATTCAACTTTTGTAGATTACCAAAACCTGGATGACTGAGCATCTACACAAATTTTTTTTTTTTTTGGTACATTATATTTCATGGGCAGTGTAGCATCACTTGGTTTCAGTTATTAAAGAAAAATGGAATTTAAATAACTTATTGACAGAACAAAAATCAAATCACTTACATTTTCTAACCCAAAGGATGCCCTTTGGTGGCATTTGTCCCCAAAAATCCTAAAGTGCCGCAGCAAGTGTAATGTACACGTGTGTTCACAGACAGTTTCATCCCTTGTGTCATATTATACAGTTGAAGATAAATGACCTGTGCAAACACTGAGGTGCGGCGTAACAAACCACTGGGGACCTCAGTGAATGGCAACATGAGCGACAAGTGACTACCATGCAAAATAGGCAGCACCGCTGACTTAAATATTCATAAAAAGGTTGGCATTGTCCATTTCCTTTTTTTTTTGTAGCCATCTATGTAGAGAAGGGAAAATGCCGAACTCATTCAAGTAGAGCTGACAGTGATTCTGTCAAATAACATCAACCTATGTGCCCGCTATGCACTGCTGACCCCAGACAAGCTTCCCAAAGGTGCAAACACGTCAGGTCATGCAACCCGCTGGCTTTAATAGCAAGAGATGAATCCTTGTGACAATTGGGGGCTGCGCTTGAAAGTCTCCCCGCATCGCTGATCACCACCAAAGTACACCTTCGCGATGGCCGCACTGCAGCTCACAAATCCACATCGTCCGAGTCCGAGTTGCTGGAAGACTGGGATTCCTCTTGGCCCTCGCCCCACACAAACCTGTAGTTGTCTTCCAACTCCTGCTGTCGCTTTTGCTCTTTATGAACTTCCTCTGTGCCTCCCGTCTTGTAAAACAATAAAAAAACAACTAAGTGTTATAGGTTTCATGTTGAATTAATGTCTAAGGGCTAATGTGATTAGGGGTGAAAAGGCACACAAGCAAATCTGCGTCCATTCAAGGTCACGTCGGGGGTAAAATCAACAGAGTGAAGCCTATAAAATATTTTACCAGCAGGTTTATGAGGAGTTCTCGAAATGATTTTGTGTCTTCCTCGGTCAGCCACTGATCACCTGCCTCGTCTGTATTCTTTCGTGTCAAGATCTTCACCTCGATTTTACCTAGAGAAGAAAACAGGATGGGTGGTGGGGTGTGTCCTATTCAATTCAAGCGCTCCCTCAACAAAAAGTACCCGGCATGCAAACAAACAGGCCTAGAATAAAACTATGATGAGGGATGGATGACTGCCAGAGCACACACACATGGATAACTTTCATTTCAAGCCACTGTCGGGAGAGAAAGCTTCCTGGTTTAAAGTCCAACTAATGCAACAATTTCTCGGTCTGATGTCTGATCGCCCGTTTCACCAATTATCAACCCAATTTATAATTTAAAGGAAAAAGGAAAGTCATATGACCGATTCACTTTTATGATACCCAAAGTAGGTTGAGGAAGCAAAAAGATTAGAGACAGAAGAAAGGGGGGGAAACATGTTTACGAGTATGTTAGCACTCCCCATTCATACCTTCGGCCTTCAGTCCTGCTTTCTCTAGCTGTTCTTTAACCACGTCCTTTATGTGCTGCCACTGGGGATCTCCTTTGCCCAACTCCTGTACTTTGAACTCCCCATCGGAGCTGCTGCCTGTCCTATACTTAGTTATTTTGATCTTAACATGGTCATCGGCATCTTGGTCTGGGGTGACGAGACAAAAGAGGCACAGACAACTGGCTGTCAGAGACAATAATCCTCACGTAATACAGAAAGCGCGAGAGGGCATTCTAGAATTAAAGCGGTGCTCACACATACCGATAATTCGGCCGGTTAAAGTCAGGAAAGGACTGGTTGTCGGCATGTCGCTCAAAGTATATCCTGAGAATTTACCCAGAGGCATGTCGAGTAATTTATTTTTTTTGCCTCTAGAATTTGCTCAGAAATTGGTCACACAAACTTGGTTTAACATTGACACTAAATCCTGATGTGTAGTCAACAGAGTTCTTTCAAGCCACAGATTCTGTATTTGCGACGTGAGATGGAACAAGAGCCAATTGGGAAGTGACATGATGCTTAAGTTGTTGCCGGACACAAAAACAGAGAAGCAAAACCTGTCCCAGGAGTTATTTTCTACTATAAAAATGACAGGAGTTGCAATCGCAACGTAGTTACGAGACACACTTGAGGTTTACATCGCAGCTTCTATTTTTGGGGGAGATTTTCCACAGTCTGTCCGCCCCGTGGCACCGACCTGCTGCCCCACAGGTCAGTCTTGGTGCGATGACAGAAATCAGGTTTCGGGGAAGAGATTCATGATTGTTGGTGGGGATATTGTTGTGTCGAGTTGGTTATCGAGTGCAAAACATTGTGTCATTAAGTGTGCACATTATTTGCTCTGTCTTTGTGGAAAACAATGTGAAAAATGTTGTATTTCTGACTTTTAGTTTTCAGGAAACGCATTGACAAATATTGGAAATCTACTGAAGATGTAATTTGTCAAAATAGCTATTGCACTAAAATGGTGAAAATTACATTTCTTAAATAAATAAATAAGGCATTTTTGCATGTATACCTAGACTTTAGCGAGACCCTTTCTAAACGCACGCACGCACGCAATAATTTTTGCATCGTTCTATTTGGAGTTTTGCCCATCTTAAAAATTGGTTAAGATGTCAAGGATCAGTGTGTGTGTAAGCCGCTTAACATGAGCTATTTTGTCTCTGCATCAAATCCATGTGTGTGCCTATTCTGGGATGGAATGTTACAAACACATCTGACGGTCATATGGGAAGACGGCGACAAAGATGGAGACGGGGAAACAAGAGCGACGTAGTATGCCAGGTCAGGTTACCGGGTTGCTTTGGCGCTAAACTGGGGCTGCCCCGGGTCGGGTCGTTGGCTTTTTGAGCTCCTGCAGGTGGCTTCTCGTGGTCCTGCTCGTGCTCGTCTTTCTCCTCCAAATGATCGAAAAGCTTATCGAGCGTGGTCTCCAGTGCCTGCGTCGCCTGAGTGCGATCAAACTCCCCTTTCAGCCCTTCTGTCTCCAATTCTTGCTGTGCCTACAAAAATGAAGAAGTCAAAGTCAGTCCTCTGTGTGGTGACCCGCATGCTTAAAGAATTTAAACAGAGTTGGAATTAAAGTGCACATGGGAATCCCGTAGTTTCCTGTGCACTTGCGTTTTCATTTTCATTTGGATTTTGTCTGTTACCTCATTAATGATGTTGTCAAACTCTTTTCGCATGGTTTCCTGTATCTCATCAGCCTTATCAGCCGGCACAGAGATGTCTGCCATTTCATCCTTGAATTCCTGAAGTAGCCGTTCATCTTCATCATCCTCTCTGTCGTCTTTGCCGCGCCTCACGGATCCCCTTTCCCCCGCTTGCTCCTTTGCTCGGTTTTGCGCTTTCTACATAGAAACAAATGCCGCACAAAAATGGAATTTACAGGTGCGGGCAAAGGCAGATGCCATGCTGTTGTGTACAAAAGCACCAACCTTTCTGTTACTCTCCTTGAGATGCTGGACAAATTTCATCAGGTCTGATGGATCAGTGATGATTTTAAAGTTGAAATTTTCAGCTGAAACAGATTCCACCAATGTGGAAAAATTGTTATGCTTTGCTAATCAGCGCAGCTTCTCCAAGCAGTTCAATACAAACATTAAATCAATGGTTGCAATATTGCGCAAGCAGTGAGATATAAAATGTACCTTCATTTCCATCATCTAGGACTTCATTGTCTGTAAGTGAGTTCAAGCCGTCATCAGCTGCCTGCCGAAAGAACAAACAGTTCACAGGAATACGGTCAATCTACGCCCTCTAGTGGTAAACTAACGTTCATTGCGCTTGTTTTCATTAGGCCAAAGTGTGCACCCCAGTCTTGTCACAAGCCAATCCCAGAGCAACCATTTTCGATCACATTCACACTCAAGGACAGTTTAGAGTCTTCAGTGAAAGCAACGGATATTTTTGGAGAGCTGGAGGAAGCAGGAGTACCCAGAAATATAAAAAAAACCACGCCGGAGCGTTGGTTCATACCCAGAACGTCAGGACTCTCAGCAACAATGTGGCGAGATTGGACAAAAATGCCAGTGTGTCAAAATGCTGAGTCAGGTTCGAAAGGCTACTTTAACCTGAGTACAACGCATCACATATTTTGAACATTGGATGATGGCGCAGAAGGTTTTTTCCCTTTTTTTTTTTTTTTCAAATTCCACATAGATGGCAGGCAATTGTCACATTACAACTGAAAGGCAGACATGAACCTCATCATTAGCTCACTATGCTGCCGCAAAATTACTCTTGCAGGAAAATTAACAGTACAGGCAAATATTTTATCTCTACTGGGACACATGACATAATTGCATGTTTTCATGACATCATGTAAAATTGGACAACAAAATGTGTACCTCACTCTCCTCATGAGAAGAGCTTGTTTTTGAACTTGTTGGTTTTGCAATTCCTTCCCAGAACTGAGTATCCTCTGGGTCTTCTGACCCTGCACTGTCAGACCCGTCAGCAATATCTGTGCATGGAGAACAAACAAATTTAAAGAGATAAAAAAACAACAACAACAATCGCATGACAGGTCATTAGCTCTTGGATGGATCGAGATGGACCTTTTTGGTCTGACTGGTCCCGGCCATCATTGGGATCTGGTGAGGTTTCTTCCGCAGTTCCTTCCACCGGCACCTCCTCGTTACCAGCCAACATCTCATCAAGACTCCTCAGCTCCTCTGAGATTTGTTCCACTTTACGCTTTGTGTCCGCTGGGAAATTTAAAAAAAAAAAAAGGAAAAAGAAAGAAAAGGAGGTGTCAACAGCACAAAAGATAGCCTTTTGAAACTGAGTGCAACTCATTCCAGAAAACATTCCACACAGCTATGTACAAATAAAACGAGAATATAGTTAACGAAAGCATTACAATTGGTCATCATTTTGATTGTTATTTTTAGTAATAGTTCAGGGCCTTCGTTGTAAAGGTAAGCCGCAACAGTGTGATGATTTTGAAGATGACTGGCAACTCACAGACTTGCGCCTTGACATAGTCCATGTACTGTTGTGCGCTTAGCGCTGGCTGGCATATGATCCCCTGGGGCTTGGCAGTGGACGGAGGTCGCAGTAAGGGATGCTGGCAGGTGCGACTCGTATGAATGGTCACCACGTAGCGGCATGACTGAGGCTCGTCCACTCGCGCGATGTAGTCACCCGAACCGTCTTCGCATACAAACTGAGTGTCGGAGAAATCCGGAAGACGGAGTTAGAGAAAACCCACAAAATCCCAAAGAGAACATGCAAGGGCCATGTGGGAGGGTCTGAAGCCAAAAAGTTCAAATTCGGGAACTCTCAGCTGTAAGGCAGACTTGCCCACCACTTATCCGCCATGGTACTGGCAAATTAAATTAAATAGCCAAATTGAGTAAACGAGAAAAAAAAGCTTTAAAAAAATAAATAAAATACAGTGTGACTTTTGTGTGACGTGGTCTTCATTCATTTAACAAAAAATAAATAAAAAACATACTGTGGTTGGAGTTTGCAGTCCGAAAATAAAAAAGTCTCACCCGGACTTCGGCCTCCCTGGGATTCCCATTGATGTCACACTTGGAGCCGTTTACATAAGTCTGACTGTGGAAACGTTTCAGTCTGTGCTGTTTGGAGGCCTGTAACATAATCACAATATATTCCAATGCATGGTTTTACAAGTAACTGCTGTGGATTTTCATTAGTCAGGAAGTCACATTTAAGGATAATGATTACCTTTGCGGTTTCATTACTCCAGTCAAATTCAGACTCATAGTAGCCCAGGAAGAGGACGTCCCCTTTGATTTCTGAGTCTGAGATGTAACAAACATTTCAGGAAAAGCCTTGAGAAAACAATGCGTGAAGCTATCTCTTACCTTCGAGGTGGTACTGTTTGATATGCTGACCATGGCAGAACTCATATGTCCACCAATCTTTTGTCTGAGGGAAAAACAAAAAGAGTAAATTCACTTCAACAAACCTAACAGCTCTTTTCTCTTTATGTATTTAATATAATAATTTTTTTGTTTCAGTAAGTGTCAAATTTAAGAAAATGTATTCCATTGATTCAATGAGCAATGAATTGAAAGTGAAGGAAACAAAATTTAAAAAACAGTCTATTAAATAAGATAGCTATCATTTGTTGTCTTGTTATTTTTTTTTAATGATTACATGACAGTACATAGTCCAAAGGAACATAACTAGAGATGAACACGCAAGCAAGATAATGACTTGTTGGAAAATAGCTGCAAAATGTGTGCGTGGTAAAAACATAATCAGACATTGTACTTGCTAGTGAGCAGTACTGCAATAGGGCAGATGATGGGATGAAAGAGTTAATCCAAAGTATGGAAACCGAGTGCATGATAATTCTGTTTTTGACATTTCATACTGTGCAAGGGTCACTTTTGAGTTTTGCTATAATAATGACCCTTTTGCTTTTTCCTTTTCTCAAGGGGTGGCACATGGGCCAAGCAAGAGTGCATTTAACGATAAGTCATAATTTTAGTCATTAAAGCACCAATCGCAAATAATTAAAATGGTGCCTCCCAACTGCTCATTATCCTCCAAATATCAAGTAGCCTGCCAACAAGAAAAAAGCCGCAGATACAAACAATAGTTTTGTTAACAGCTCAGCCTTGGTGGAGGTCCACGCCCCACTGAGTGACATTTACTGTCGTAACATATGGCCAATAAAACAACAACTCGAATGTTGGTGTTGAACTTTCAGCCAAGTTTAATTTTAGGAAGCTGTTGTCCTTCATATCACACTTCTATCAACACTTTAAGATCTATTTCTGAGCATTATAGGACAGTGTGCACCAACCAACACTAGACAGGGAGGCTCTCGCATGGGGCTGAGTAGATCAAGGATGTCCGGCCCGGTGTACCCTTGTGAGTCTGGATCTGACACGGGGTCCTGGTGAAAGCGGACCGCCTGAGCTGGAAGTCGACACTCATACACTTGCTTGTACTTGCTGGACACCATCATGACCTCATCTGTGTTGGTCTAAGGGGAAGCAGTGACACAACTTTACATTTCTCCGTGTGGCATTTGGTTTACAAGTTAATTTAGTTGTTGGTTGAAAGTTCTGTCGTGACAGCTGTCAAGTGGCGTCTGCGTTTTGAAGCACGTTATCTTAAAAACAGCTACTGGCAAAACACAATATAAGCACGACAATGGAAATAAACATAAGCATGTGTTTGTTAAGCTTCTGTTGCCTACAGGTCATGTTTGCGAAAACACAATCGTTATCGAAACCTCGCTTTAGCTAACCATTAGCTCTGTGTAAATCATCTCACTTACCTGCCCCATTATGACAGGATCGGGAAGAATCTGAATCTCATATTTCATCTCATTCAGTTCTTCTAAGTTTAGGAAAGCCGAGACATAAACTGGCCACAGTAATAAGAAAACGTATAGCCTATTTCGCCACCGTACTTGGTGAGCAGCCATGATTAACACGCAGCCCCACCCACTTCTTCCTTTTCCTCCTCCTCCTCTTCTTCGTCTATTTGTTTGTCTTCTTCTACCCCACAGTCACTGGTTGGTTCACGTACGGACTGAATGGACTACCAGGCTGCCCTCGCGGCTGAAGCCAGAGGACAGACATCTTACGTTGCCACTGATTCTGACATCTTCAGTTATTTTATTTTTCAATGAAAACATTGTTATTGTTGAGGGTTTGCTGTCAGGATCTTCGCTTAATGGCAGCCTCTCAAAGGACGAACTTCACTGTTTGGACGGACCATTCAGAGTATATTATCTCACTAGTGAATCGTGGTTTATACAGATTAATTTTACATTTCACAGCATTTTGTTTCCGGATGGTCTTTGGTTCCATTTCATTGTTCATGGTTATAACGAACCGTTAAGTGGTGTGATTAATTTGAAATGAGTGTACCTAATATTACGACCTTTAGAAATAAAGCGTTTAAGCTGAGTAACTCCTCCGCGGGAGGTGGGAATGCAAGTTACGGGCAGCGGATTGGTCAGAAGGGAGGATGTGGTCTTGTGTGACTGGCTGATTTGTATGTCAGTCTACAGAATGCGTTTTCGTTAACACGTTTTGTGGTGGATTTGGCGGAATGGTAATAAACAACATTAATTCTTTAAGGTATTTAGGCTTCATTTAAAAGCACGTTAATTTGGTGTGTTTTTTTTTCTCAAAATCACGTCTTTCGAACAAGACGTATTCCTTTCAATAATTACATACCACCACTGGTGTTTTCAATGCTCATGTCTACAATAATAAGCTGCATTGGACTCATTCATTAGTTGTAAAGTTACGCGTACATTCTTATCTGCCAATTTTCTCGTGGCCAAGTGCTTGATTTGTGCGTCGTGGAAATGCGCGAGTTACACGGTTTGAGTCCACGCACCGTTCCTTGGCGTCCGCCTCTGTCTACAGGACCACTGAGGAGGAGGAGGGTACGTTAAGAGGAGCAACCTCCTTGCAGACAGCCTACAGAGGAACCGGCTGCGATGGGCCTTTAAATTGAGGTGAGACATATTTTTATATATATATACACACAAGAAAATTTGCAATTCCTCTGTCTTGACTGCATGCTTTTGAATCATGTGTGTGTGTCATTAAAGAAAGGTGATTGCATTTTTTTTTTACCCCCTGCTGTCGTGTTGTTCATGACAGCAAGTAGGCCTGGTGCGGTCGCCCTTAATGTTAACACGGCGCGTGAAATGAAACCTACCAGATTTATATTCTAGAACGTAGCGGTGCACATCTCCAAGCGGACTCTATTGTGTCCATATATGGACAGCATGTCCATTGCCTTTTTTCCCCTCCATGTTTGCCTGCTTAATTAAAACAGCCACCGTTTTTCACGCTGTCATTGTTATGAGTTGCTATTGTTTAGCTCCTACATCAGCCCTCAAAACATTAGCATGTACACACTATAAGAGCCTATTTTTATGATCAGCATGCATACATATACTGACCAGGTCAATGTGAGGTGCACCTGCAATCCGATATTGATAATCATCTCTCGGGTTTTTGAAGACTCTAAGATTTTGAGTCTAAATTGTGCATAGGTGTAAGTGTGAATGAGAAAGATTGTTTTCACACTGGACACATTCATAACATTGGCCTGCAGCTACAAGGCTGATCAAGCTTGTGTCCTATGACCAATCATGAAAACTGCCACTTATTCAAATGGATGGCCTACCCATGAGTCTATATTACCACAAGGTACCTGAGAGAGACTCCATTTCACCCCAAAAAGTTTAGATTTTTTTTTATTGAACTTAGTCTTCATTGTATTAAGCAGATGTTATGCTGTTAGAAATGTAAGTTGCTCAAACTCCACACATAAATCTGTAATGACACATGCAATATGATGAAAATGACAAAAATACGTACAGCGAGTGTTTCAGCCTTTGTTTAAAAAAGACAAAATGCTGGTCCGAATTGTCACTGAAAACATCAGAGGAACTACCTCTTAATGATAGGGTGGACATCAGTTTTTGCAACACTTGCAAACTGTTCAATAGGATGATGAAAATTTGAATGAACGTGATCAAAATAACTTTCATCCATCCATTATCCGAACCGCTTATCCTCACAAGGGTCGGGGCCGTTTTGACACGTTTCGACACGCTGGTGTGCGATCGCGCTCTGCATTTAGAGAGAATGAGCCAGGCCGTGATTGATATCAGCTGTGACCACTCCCACAGCGGCACAGCCCCCCTCCCCCCACCTTTGCAGATCCACCGGCCTGCCTGCGTTCATGCATGGGTGAAAATACCACCATCGGGTGTTACCTGCCTCCATGCAGAGTTACACCGTGCGCCACACTGGATTTATATTATATATATTTAGTTTCACTTGCGTACCGTCAGGGCCAGTGACTAACCACATGTGTTTCGGGGGTCTTGCATAAGCTCAACAAGTTTTAATGTGATGCAACAGCTTTTTATCAGCGCAAGAAGAGTGAATGTTTTATGACCCCTAATTCATTTTTTTTCCACAAGTGGAGGGTGCTGGCTCCACATTTCCTGGTGATTCAGATTTCAACAGAGAAAGCCCTTTTCCTGACTGGATAGATGGATTGTCAGCATGCGCACTTGCATGCAGAATGAAGATGTTGTTGCCAGCGAGGGCAGTTCACTTTTAAGACATTATGATGAGTCAGCTGTCATATTGGATACCGAGGTCATATTTTACTACATTAGTTGCATTGTGGAGCGTCCAGCACAGATATTTCTGACAGCGGAAATACGTTCCAGAGGGTTTCACTGCTGGAAAGTGGGAGGAACGGCTTGACTGAATGTTTTCCTGAAATGATCTGATCCTATTTTGAAGGAAGGAGTGAAAATGGAAAGAAAACAAATTCCAAATATTTGCTGTATTTGATTGTGTTCCCTTTGACCACTTCATCCAGCCTTCTCGAAAGCAACCCAGCCGTGGTTTATTCCTTGTTACAGGATGAGTTGTTTGTCTGTTTTCATCGATCTGGTCAAAGCCACACAATTACCACAGCTGCACAATGTTTCCGCTTCCTCTGCCCATGTTTTGCTCTGAGCCTTGTAACATTTCACAAGGTTCAGATTTAATCACACTTGGATTGGTTTATTTTAAATCCATTCATCCATGTCCGTGTATGGAGGCAAAATTAATCCAAACTGTAATTCGCCCAAGTGCTTCTGGACCTAAAGCATGGCACATCACCTACACAGTGTTACTCAATTCCATTTGATCTTATTGCATTGGTGAAGCTTTTTTTTTTTTTTTTAATTCATAACTATAATTGTTGCCTGCGTGCCACCTGTGTGAGATGGACCTTGGTGTGCATCTAATATTGAATTTTGATTAATACCACTGAATTGATAGCAAATAATCTCATGGATTCATTAAAAAAATGAAGGCAAGGCAAATGTATTCATATTGCACATTTCATACACAATGCAACTCAATGTGCTTCACGCAACCGAAAGCACAACACCAAAAGGAATTTATCAACAGAACAAAATAGCTTGATGAAATTACTTCAAGAGCGTGTAGCATAGGTGTCAAACTCAAAAGGTTTAAAAGATCTTAATCAAAGTTATGTGGGAAAAAAAATCCATCGTTTTTCACCTGAATTGAAAGGCATTTATACAAAGTACTTCGGTCTTCAATTCTTTTGTCAATTTATTCCATTTGAGTACAGCAGAACAGCTAAATGCTGCTTCACCCTGTTTGCTTTGAAACCTGGACTTCACAAATTGGCCCGAGTCTACAAACTTCAGACTCCTACTGGGTTTATTTATCCATCCATCCATTTTCCGATCCACTTTATCCTCACAAGGGGCATGCCTGAGCCTATCCCAGCCGTCTTCGGGCAGTAGGCGGGGGACACCCTGAACCGGTTGGCAGCCAATCGCAGGGCACACAGAGACGAACAACCATCCACGGTCACACACTCACACGTAGGGACAATTTTAAGTGTTCAATCAGCCGGCCATGCATGTTTTTGGAATGTGGGAGTCAACCGGAGTACCCAGAGAAAACCCACGCAGGCCCGGGGAGAACATGCAAATTCCACACAGGAAGGCCAGAGCTGGAATCGAACCCGGTACCTCTCTGCACTGTGAGGTCGATGCGCTAACCACTGGCCCACCGGGCCCCCTCATTTATTTATTTATTTGTGTATTTATTATTAAATTAGCATTTCCATAAAGTATTGAGTATCCACACCGTGCATTCGGGGATTCATAGACAGGGATTCAAGATCAAGCGGGAATTGTCATTGTGCTCATCAGGTTTCAGGATGCGCTCCCTGAGGAAGACAGTGTTGTTTGGCGTCCTGGTATCAGTGGTTCTGGTACTGGCTCTCATCCACACATGGCCCACCCGGGCCTACACAACCATAGAGGTCTGGCAGCAACCAGGCCCCCTAGTAGAGAGGCATCTGGAGGACCGTCTCCCGGAACCTCATCCCCAGTTGAGCGCCATCCCCTTTCGTGTGCGTGAAAGTGTGGCAGGGTAAGTGGAACTGGAGCTGTTTTTTTTTTTCTTTTCCTTCTCCCAAACAAACAATAGTTAGCTCATCCCGTGAGTCTGTCTGTGTTGGCTTTGGCAGCTTGTTGGCACGCAACGGATGCGTGTGTGAGAGCGAAGGGGTGACTCTGCCCTTCTTTCAAATCTTATCGTCACGGGTGTCGGCTCACCAGCTGCACACGGCCTTCCAGGCGGACGAGCTGGAGGAGGTGAAGAAAAGACGGGATAAGGAGTTCAAAAGCCTCCGGAAAAGGTCAGAAAAAAATGGAATCGGGTCGGGTGAAGTTGTGTTTTCAAAGGGCAGAACAACCGATTTTAAAAAGTGTGCTCAATTTATTGCGAAACAGTACACAAAGTGAAGTACGTTTTATGTCCACAACTAGAGCTATTTTCCAGAAACGTGATTATTTTCACTCAATGACTCATTTCACCAAAATTTTGAGCTGGCCCCAAAAAAGTGGACATGTTCCACTGAAAAAGTATTGCCTCACTGACACAAATCAAAATAATTACAGTTGTGTATCGTGTGTCGGCTATGGCCCTCAGGTTACAGACATCTACGGATACGCTCATTATCGCAGAGGCAAACAACCCATTACAGTATCCAACGCAGGGCGTGGAAGTGCGGCCTCTAAAAACAATCATCATCCCAGGTATGGATCAGCACCAAAACTGGTGTGTTGACTGTGATCGTAAAAGCACATCTTCGTTCAATTATGATTTCAGGATTGGCTTTACAGGACCTTCCCCGAGATCATTACTCGGTGAGTAAAAACCGTCTTTAAAATTTTTTTTTTTTTTTAACCGTTGACTTATTATTCTAATTAAAAAAAAAATCTAATTGGAGGCATTTTGTCACGATTGCTTTTCCTGCAGATAAATCTCACTGCCACGCTGGGAACGCTCAATGTTGCCGCAGAAGTGGACGAGGTTCAAATTCAAGGTGATGGCGAGATGCACATGACGCTGTCAAGCAGACGTCTCACCAAACTGAACCGACAGCTGCAGTTTGTCACGTACACCAACACGCTATTCCACCCCAACACAGCGGACACAGGTGAGGCTTTGGCCACATATCCCTACAGTGAAGTTTGGAGGTCATTGACATTGATGTTTTTTTTTTTTTTTTTTTTTTATGGTGTGCATATGCATCATTAACCCTTTCATGCACCCTGTGACCCGATAACATGATAGGATGTCCACTGGAGTAACCGCTGTCCCTGAAAGGGTTAAAATAATGAAAAAATAATTTTTTTTTAATCTGATAAAATAGATCATAAAAGTTGATTTTTGTGAAATTTGGTACCAAGGTAAAACCAAATTTCAATTTGCCAAACCAAATTTCAATTTGCATTTTATGAATGCTGAGCCATCTGATTTGATTTGTTTTAATTTGCATGCTTATTTTGAACGCGAAAGAAGAATCTGCAATTGGAATGGAAAAGAAGTCCAAATTGATGAAATCCCAACATTTCTCCGTGTTTTGTTGATTTAAACCTGTATCTATTCAGTATTTTTGTAATGGCAGAAAAAGAAAACATCTTTCTAAACAGGGGCAACAGTGGAAAACAAAAACGACTTAACTCCTACGTCCAATCAAGTCATCCGATCTGGATTGGGAAATGAGTTTCAATTTTTTTCCCCCCTCAAAAGCTTTATCAAATTAAATGTCAAAGTGATATTTGTTCAGGGGACAGAAGTTCCTTTTTAAATTCGCTTTGTTTTTCTGTTTTTCAGTACACTTTGAGACAGAGGGCCATCAAGCCAACTTCATCATCAAGATCCGTCACGGTGTCACGCCCAAACTGTACAACATAGGGAATGAAGGAGGTCTGCTTTTGTTTGCTTTGTAAAGGACCATGAATGCTCAGAAAGGCGCCTATAAATTATAAAAATATATATTATTGTTATTATTATTATGGCACAGAATAATCTGCTGTTTTTTTTCCCCTCTCCATTAAGTAAACACATTTCACTTTCCGGCATTCTCCCCTGTCGGCAGAGTACAACATCAGCGCTCTGGTTACCATAGCAACCAAGACTTTCCTGCGCTACGACAAGCTTCAGAACCTCATCGACAGCGTGAGGAAATACTACCCGACCGTCACCATTGTCATTGCTGATGACAGTCAAAATCCCCAAAGCATCTCTGGGCCGTACATCGAACATTACATCATGCCATTTGGAAAGGTGCTCAAACAACATCAACAGCGGTGCCGTGGGAAATGAGTTTAATTACCCAACTAACATCTTTTTTTTTTTTTATGTTTTTGTAATGAAAAACCCCCCCAAATAATTTTGTACTTTATAAAGATATACAGTAATGGTAATGAAACCCCCCCCCAAAAAAAAAATAATTTTGTACTTTATAAAGATATACAGTAATGACCTAATTCGCCAGAATGTAAGGAATTTAACCCTTTCGGGGACAGCGGTTACTACAGTGGACAGCTTATCATGTTATCGGGTTACAGGGTGCATGAAAGGGTTAATATCCATGTGGTTGTCTTAAACACACAACATGTAATTCCCTTTGACAAAGTATGCGCGAAATTATTGCTTGTTGCGAAGTCAGTCATGTTTGCACTCGCAATTCAAAGCATTATTTTTTTTGGGGGGGTGGGGGGGGACTCCGTAAGTTGGGTCACTCATTTCTCAAGGCACAACTTTGCCCGATGTTTGATTTCTGGGTGTCAGACTTCGATGAGGTGTGTCCTTTAGGGCTGGTTTGCCGGTCGGAACCTGGCCATTTCCCAGGTGACCACCAAGTATGTGCTGTGGGTGGATGATGACTTCATCTTCACCAGCAAGACCAAAGTGGAGAAATTTGTGGATGTTTTAGAGAGGACCACTTTGGACCTGGTGAGCCATTATACATCATCATTACAAACCATTCGCAGCAACTGGCTAACCCGCTGAAGGTGCCCCGTCTATGTACTGTATCTACATCTGTACACACAAGTACTTTACTAAACCTTTAGCAGAGATGCTAGCAGTTCACCTGATTGTTTGTTTGTGCGTGCAGGTGGGCGGTGCAGTTCGCGAGGCCACCGGATATACCACCACCTACAGGCAGACCATATCCATCGAGCCTGGGGAGGATGATGGGGACTGCTTGCACTTGAGGAGAGGGTTCCATCACGTGATCCAAGGCTTCCCCAACTGCGTGGTGACTGACGGGGTGGTTAACTTCTTCCTGGCTCGGACCGACAAAGTCCAGCAGGTCGGCTTTGACCCGCGCCTCAACAGGGTAGCCCACCTGGGTTAGTACAAAAAGGCACTTTTTGCTCATAAAAAAATAAAAAAAAAAAACGAAAGCTAAAAAAAATGGCTTCAGTCAGGGAGTCAAATTGTGTGTGTGTCAATGTGTGTTTGTTTACAGAATTTTTCATCGATGGCCTGGGCTCTCTCCATGTGGGCTCTTGCGACAACGTCATTGTCAGTCACGCGAGCAAAATCAAGTTCCCCTGGACCAGCCAATCGGAAAGCGACAAGGCCTACGCCAAGTTTCGTTACCCGCCGGCCTCCTCGGATGCCTCGCAAAGCAAACTTGGTCTCCTCTTCTTCAAGAACAGATTTCAGTGTCTGACTCGTGGTGATTAATTTGCTTTTTTTTTCCCCGCACATCCTATCTCGCCAAAGAGGACACGAGGATGGTTTTGCTGACATTTTATTTTTTTGTGCCATGGAAAGGATTCAACAAGTATTTATTTACAGTACGTATAAACCAAACAGTGTAAACACAAGTCTGTATGTTTACAAAGAACAATGTGAGTCTTGGCCATATGAGAATTTCAACCCCAAATCCAGACGGTCCACATTATTGTTGTGCCTGGTCAAAGGGGCCGCCTCCCACAAAGTGACAATCCTGTAAATACGCAGCGCAGAAGGAGGATCCTCGTTTATCTGGCCACACATAGGACAACTTTCGAATATGTGGCACCTAATATTGTGGCCACTTTGGCTTCTGCTAGCCTACCCATAACGCTGCATTCCCCCTCGTGAAATATCTTAAGCAGCCTGAGAAGCTGTTATCCATCATCACTTCTACCTGAAAGCGTGTGCAAACTGATCTGGGAATTGTGCACGCGCGCGCGCGTGTGTGTGTGTGTGTGTGTGTGTGTGTGTGTGTGTGTGTGTGTGTGTGTGTTGTAATTACACTGGTCAACAGCAAATTGTAATCAGAGATGGCTTTATGTATCCCAAAACTTATTTTTGACTGTGTATTCAGAAATGTCTTTATTATTTAAAAAGTATTTTTTTTCTCGCACATCAGGTTTTTGAGTTATTTTGATTTCTTGCACTGGTACGGATTTTATCATGCGTTATAATTTACTTCTGTGACGTTTCAGGAAAAAAAAAAATCCACGTATTGCTGAACCTGACCCTTAATTCACAAATTATACAAAATTAATGTTACTTATTATTATTATTATTATTTAAAATGAGTGCAGATTCAGAATGAATGCAAAAAAAAGTTGACTTTCATCTCTGATTTTTTTAAAAAAAATGTAAAACTGTGTTGGCCAATGTTATGAGAAGCCATCATGGACATATTTCAGAATACAAACAGTCAAAATGTTCTCATACACGCAAGTGAAATGCATCTCTGTGCATGAGCGAAAAGCCCTCATCCCGATGACTGAAATTCAACACTTTTTACTTCTTCTTCTTCTCTTTACTTCATTTTTTAACTTCTACACACATTTTGTTTTGTCCCACCAACTGATACGTATAAATAAAGAAAAAAAAACTCAGCAAATTGTTTTGGAGCAAACAACTTGCTTTGTTATGCTTATTACTATCCTTGTTGCCATAAATCTCAATAATTTAGATTTTCAAGTTGTTCCAACTTGAATGACCTTTTTTTCAGCGCTGGAAAATACAAGTTTAGTTTTTTACAATGTAGTAAAACTTTCTCATACACAGTACTGAAAAACTTTCAGACACAATGTTTTTTTTGTTTGTTTTTTGTGAGAATATGTGAGTGAAAAAGAATCTGCTTTGTGTATGAGAACATTTCAACAATCTGAGTTAGAAATAACCCTAAATGATGTCCCTGATAGCCCCTCATCTCAAACGCTGCCTCAGACATGTTGGACCAAAGTGCATGTTTCAAGACACAAGGAAACAGTTTTAAGGATCAAATCATATTTGAAATGCAGCATGAGGGGAAGCCCACAAGTCATTTTTTGTTAATACAAATGACTTCTACTGTATTTCTAGTGTGTTTCTGATGTCTAAAGTGGCCTTTAATGGCTGTCAGTATAGTTTGCTTCATAGATTTAATTTTAGAGAGTATTCAAGTTAGTGCTGAGGTGCCATTGACAATTTTTTTTTTTTTTTTTTAATGTCATGTTTTTTTTTCTGGCTTGAGACACTGACGAACTGGAATTTTGTTTTCATATCTGAAGAAATTACTTTGATTTTTTTTAATGGCTGACGGCTTAGAACTCAGTTGACCTTAATCCAATTTATTTAATTGTCGAAGTATCAGTTTCATATGGAAAAAGCTGTCATCTGAGCAGGTGATACTACAACGGAATATTAGAGGCACAGTGAAAAAAAATATTACGTTCATAAAGTCGTACTGTTATACGTACATTACAATAAGTACTAATAATGTAAGAGTTACATTTCAAGTCACAGGTGGGCAAAGTTTTGCATACTTCAATCTTTAAATTGGCCCCCTGGACATTTACTGTCATATTTGTTGCATTAATTGGTTAATCCACATCTATTTCTTCATATATTTTAGAGGTAGCAGGTAATAGTTTCAAGTCAATACCGGACTTATTTCAAGGTATTTCTTACTTGTGAAGATTGCGAATATCGTCCATCAATAATCATGACCAAAAAAAAAAAAAAAAGTCAAGTTAAGTCTTCCTTGCCAGTAGTTGACGCTACACTGTGGAGGTATGACACGCCGAATCATCATGTGTATCAGAAAGAAAGACGGGTCTTTATTCACAAATAACGGTCATCTTGTTAATTAACATTTTATGCACTAAAGGTACTAGTGGTTTCGGTAGTCGGTATCGATGAGAACTTTTCATCGCCAGATCAGAATTATTTGCTATATTTTCAGTTATAAGATATGACTTAACAGTATGTTGGTTATATTATTATACTGCGTTTGATTCTAATAACTTGATGACTTTATTCTTGCTCCTTTTTTTCCACTGGATTAATACTGTTTTTTTTTTACCATTGAAACGGCGTCGTTATGAATACTCAAGTTTCCAAGTGCTGTGACATGTTACTAATGTATGTCCAAGAAAAAAAAACAGTATGCAAACATAAGAGTGTTGAGGAAAATCAAAGGTTTGATTCACATTCACATTTTTTAATCGAATGTGTTTCCCAGTTTTAATGTTAAATTAAAACCCTATCATATTGATTATTGAAAAGTGTCCCATATTTTCAACACTTTTGTAATACTCCACGTTATCCCCACTAGAGGGCAATGTATACTTGGGGTGATAGTCCTACCTACCATTATATGAAACAATGCATCCAAGTGGAAATGAAATTAATCCGTTCCAGGCGGTTGCCATCTTAAAGCTTATATAACTGTACAGTAATTCATTACTGTCACAAAGTCTACAGATAAACACCCTGGAAGTGGGAAGTGGCTAATCATTTTTAAAATGCATGTTGTACAGGTTAATTACTGTATTTAAATAATTTAACAAAATCAAATTACTCACTATTTGATGGACAGACATTTTGTTAGTTACAGGAATGCATATTGTACACCTGAGAGGTGAATCCCTTCACATAAAAACTAAATACGTGCACATTGCATTCTTTAATTATTAATATTAACTTATTACAGGCAGGACAGACAGAGGTGTCGGTTGTCCACTTTGCAAAGCAGGATCATTAGGAGAAATGTTTCCTTTCGCTGATCAATTTTATTTACAACACAAAGCCAAGCACAGAAAGCAACGACCAACTGCATTTATAACTGAGACGCACAGGCGAGCACTCCCTTTCTCTACTCTCTGCACAGTGACACAAGCAGAAATGTGTTTGGTTCCGAAAACAAGCTAACAATAGCTGCGCTTAAACCGCCCACCAAAATGTCAACATTGGTATAATGCTAAATTGCAAGGTACAAATAAACTGTTAATTCATTTGAGGACGGAGACTTGTGGTGTCACTTGGAGGAATAACGTAGAATTGATCCCCATGTGAAAAATGATGCATTACAAAAATAACAGACATTTCCATGGAAAAAGTAGGAAGTCTATATTCCATGAAGTATGTGCTTTAATAATAGTTCTCATCTCAACATGCTGCCATGTGCATGCAGGAAATCCAAATGTCTTTGAATGGCATTCAAAAGGTACAATGCGTGATAAAGACGGGCTTTCGACATGCTCCTCATCCGGTTCTATTCATATGCTGCTGTTTTTGGCTGATGCGCTTAAGTTTCACTGTCATGAAGAATGGCTGCCTGGAAAGCAGCAGTCACGACCTTAAAAAAGGAGAAAATTCTGAGTTGATGACAGTGGCAGAAAGTAGTGGAATCTCCAAAGTCAAATGCCCCAGAAGTGGTAAAAAATTGTCTTTCCATCAATTTGGCCCGTGAGAAATATTCCTTTATGCGGTATAGTCCCCCCCCCCCAAAAAAAAAAAATGAATGACATAATGTCAGACTTTCTTTGTTCAACACAACATGGACGGAAAAGTGAGTCTCAGGTGTTACATTTTCCACCTTTGTCTCACTTTTCTGACCATTCCCTTGCTGCTCCTTCCATGTTCCGGCTGGTAATACCTCTAAAGATGGAAAAGGGGCAAAAAAAAAAAAATCTGTTTTGATAGGTATAGGGGCCTTTTGTCTCCTCCTTTGAGCTGCAGTCATTACAGTGGATACAAAAAGTCTTCAAGTATTGTATTCTAATTCTGGTGTTTTGTGATATGAAAATAATTAGAAAAATAAATCCTTTCAAAGAATTTTCCACCATTAATGTTGCCTGTAGAGTTCAATTGAAAATAAATGCAATCTTTATTAATGGGGAATTAAAAATACACAACTGAGATAATGTGGTTGATTAATCAGTGTACACACGCTCATAAGTGGAGACGTGGGTTGAGTTCAGAATTAACCAATCACATTCAAACTGATGTTGAATGAAAGTCAGCACACACGCGCTTCTGCATCTATGGTAGATCCATTTCAGCTGTTCTCGTAGGCTTTTCCTGACATTTATTTTTTTTTTTGCTTTCTGGCCCATAACCTATTTTCCCACATGTGCGTGTGAAATTTTCATTTTGTTACATGACGCATGGAGGCGGGGCCATCATGCTTTGGGGTTGTTTTGGAATTATAACCAGTTCGAAGAGTAATCGGGCTTAAAAACAAACAAACAAAAAAAAAATCCTTTTGGCTTCTGCTGGAAAAACAAAACAAAACAGAAAAAAAACCCTGCAATACAGCAGGGGCAATGTACCTGCAAGCTGTGCTGGCTGCGGGGTGGCAGAGAAATATCCGTGCCGTGGTTTCCTGTCATTTCCGGACATAAAGTGAGCTGTGGCTGTGATGAGAGCTGAAGGTGGGCTGCTTGACGTGTCATGGCACAAGGGTTCGAGGCCTGACAGTGACAAGAGATAAAATACAATAGTCTGCTTCTGATCAGAGTGAAAAAAAAAATCAATTGTACACCTACTGCTTTTGCAGCCGGGCTGTGGTGGGGCGGATGCAGCGACGGAAGGGAGGTGTTGTAAGACAGCAGGCCCAGCTGCTGGTGGTGGCCAATCGATGATGACAAATAAGACTGCAGGCCACTTGGAGACTTCATGTTCCTGCCGAGGCTGTTTGATTTGCTCTCCCTTCGTTGGTACTCAATAGGAGACTGCAGGGCTGGAGTGAGGACAGGAAATCACTTTTTTTTTTTAAACAGCACTCTTCTGATAGTTTTAATGTCAAAACATGAAGCCTCGGCACCATTGAGGAAGTTCCTTTGAGTCTCTAAAATCTGCACAATGTCACCGAGCCAAGCTTGTTGTATTTCCGAAGAGGATGCCTGCATGACGAAGCGAGTCACACTGCCGTTTGTCCCGCGCGACGTCAGTACAAGAGAGCACGGGCCCTCACTGGAATTCTGCTCCACGCCCAAGCAGCTGACCTGTGGCACACAACTCACGTAAAAACTGTGAGACGTGCTCCTGCAATGGAAATGACCTTTTTATTATGCCTTTGTCATTCGTCATTAAGACCGAGGACCTTATTTTCATGCCCAGTGCAAATCTGGCGCAAAGGGCAGTCTGGGTGGAGTTTTCTGAGCAGTTAGAAAGGGTGGGAGTGAATACGGCCAACTTAATTTGTGGCCAATGAAATCGGCTCCACTCATTTCCGTTAAAATTCATCGCAGGAAAGGCGTGCACACGCTCTTTGGCATTGTTTGACATTGTTATCTACAAGTTGCCCTTAATACTGTATTATCATGCAGCAGATTTTCTCAAGGTTGTATGATGGTAACAGTACGGATTCCTAGTTACAAAATTTCAAATGGGGAAAACAGTTTTAAAATCAGAACAAATGGACCAGAATCAGTTGTGAATGTCTCATAATTAATCGTATCTGATTTGTGTTGTCTGTGACATTTCCAAAACGTGAATTGAAAAAAAAAAGCACATCAAGCAATAAGAGACATTATTGTAATTTTCCTGGTATGTAGTGCACTTTTATATAAAAATCGAGTGTATACAATAAGACCTGACCAATATTTACCTTGATGCTATTTTTAAAATTATAGCCAGGTAAAGAAAATCCCTTTTTCTTATCGATTGGCTCACTGAAGATGACCAGCTGCTCAAACAGGAAGACCCTCCTCTCCTTGGGTCTGGACAACATGCAGCCTTCCTGCTCGCTCACAGAGAAGGTATCCTGCTGGAGGAGCTTCCCCTGAGCTGTGATTTTCCCCTGAAAAAAGTATATTCATCACACTCATCGCCATACTGTTGATGCCCTGATCCTACATGGGTGCGTGCAGGTTTATCTTACCACAAAGCCTTGCAGCCTGCCCACGTTCATCATGTCGTTGCATCGTTTCGGCACAAAACATGTGACCTCCACTGCCCTCTGGGAGGAAAAAAATCAGAAACTGTTACACAAAGAAATGTGAACAAAAATGGCTGAATGATTATAATAGCACCTGGAGTTGCTCGACATCACGTCCTGCTTTGCTGTAATACTTTAGGAAGTCCTGAAGAGGTGCAAACAAGTTGGTTTTAAGATCGTTTAGACCTTTGTGCGGATCCCAGAGTGAATGTAAAAGCCACACGGATGGCAGACCTTGAGCAGAAGCTGGTACTTCATAATCCGTTGGACGGGTTTGATCAGCAGATCATTGAGCTGCAGCCTGTGACCCAACTGCTGCCTGAGATCCTGTCAAGGTGACATGCGACACCGGTGATGATGCGACGACGCGTTCTGCGGCGTGAACCGTTCACGGTGAAGGGAAGTTCTCACCTCAAAGAAGGTCTCGATGTACTCGGAGACAACGTGCTCTGATTTGGGCTTGTTCTGGCAGTAGACCACATACATGTGAAGACGACGCTCCTGGCCGTAGACAGACAAAAGTGAGGGCTAACTCATGCAAATGTGCTTTTAGCACTATTTATCAATTTACTTATTGGCAACCATGGTTAAGGTGTGTTGTTTAGCTTCTAATAAAACAAACAAACAAAAAAAAAAATCCCAATTTTTTTAAAAAGAGCAAAATCCAACCTTGAATTCAAGTGCATTTATTTTTAAAAAATCCCACATGAAGAAATCAGGTGTGCCACAATTATGAGCACGTCAAATGTTAATACTTTGGACAACCTCCTTTAGCCAACAAAACAGCACCAAATCTCCTCATCCAAACTAATGTTCCACAAGATGGGAGAATACAGAAAAAAAGGACCTTGGTCAATTCCTTTTTACATAATTTCTCTACATCTTCCGGCGACCTGGGTTCTCTCCTCTGCACGCTCCTCTTTCAGTTGTTTTTTAAGCGGATGGAGGTCTGGGAATGGAGACGACCATGGGAGGGCCTTGATTCTGTGTCTGGTGAGCCTTTTCTACAATTTTCTGTGTGAGAATTGCGTGAGAGTTTGGATGGGTGACCAATTGCTTCATACAACAAGGAGGATGCCGAAAAGTGGTTAAGATTGCACGACTGCCTGTGTCTTACGTGTTGTGTTGTATTATTTTGTCATTTTGACTTCGAGATGGAGCCGCGAGAGTGGCTGCTTTACAGCAGCTCCTATAGTTTGTTTTTCTATTTCCTTTCATAACTTTTCTGCTGTGAATTGGAATTTCTCCATTGTGAGACTAATAAAGGTTTTCTTATCTTATCTTGAATGGTGTGTTGTTTATTTAATGATGGATGGATGGATGGATAGATGGATGGATGGATGGATGGATAGATGTGGTGGTAGGTTGATTAGTTGGTTGCTTGGAAGAATGTTGGATGGATGAATAGAGTGTTTGCTTTTAGTTTGAGTAGACTGGTGGATGGATGGACGGACGGATGGATGGATCACTCAAAACAGAAAAGGTTGAGAAAACGTAGGCTCACATGCTTGATGAACAGCTGGGCTAAGGTGTCCGGTTCAGCCACACATTTCTCCAGCTCACCCAGGAAGTAACTGAGGAACATGACAGAGGAAAATGATAGTCAGGGCAACCACGTGACAACCACCCCACGCCCCCAAAAAGTCTAAACTGGCAGAGATGTAAGTGAACAGTGGAAAAAGGCACCTTTTATGCCAGTCGTAGATCTGATGGATGTTTCCGAAAACAATCCTGTCTTTCCCTTTAAGGTCTTCTGGAACGCCCTGATTGGTCATGGTTGCCATATAGCCCTACACGTATGCACAGAGAGTGATATACGCAAACGGTCATCTTGTGAAGGAACACCAATTTCCAAGTAGCTGTTGTGTGGGACTAAGGGTTGAATAGCGCAAGATTTTTTTTTTGTAGTCAGACATGATGTGATGAAATTTGAGTTGATGTAACATTGGTGCATGTTGTGAATGTGCTATGAATGTTCTCGCTAGCCCTCAGTTGCTGTCCTTGCATTACGGGGCATAACATTTTATGGCATCCGTTTGTGCCGCAACGCTTTCCTTCACCGCCAGTCCCATGATCGCGCTGTTAAGAATGTTTGAAGACTGGTGGCGATCGGAATAACTGAAGCTAGTGGCACGGTAACCAACTGATTTTCATACTCTCAGACCAGCGCAGATGTATGAAGACTGTGTTTCCTTATTGGCCGGACATTTCCCCGCTTCACAGAGCATTATTGTTGAAAGTCCTCTTTTACGGTAAATTGGAAGATGAAATCTCAAAAACATGTGTTTAGCGATTCGTCGACCTCAAGCTATGTTCACCCCCTATTTGGAAGTTATACTGTACCTCTACAACAAGTCCAAGGTCTTCCACATACAACCTTTCAGTCTCTAGCAACTCTGTCAGCACATACCTAAGAGAAAAAAGATATTTGGGGTTAATTAGATGTAAGAAATGTGCACATGTTCAAAAGAGGGACTGACAATCATTTGCAAAGATTCAGAAGATAAACGCAACCACTTGAATCCATTATTGTATATCAGCTGCATGCAGGACAAGGATACCGTTGCTTAGCATTAAAGCTTCACATTCAAAATCACCAGCACCTAAAAATTATAATTAAAAAAAACATTGTTGTGCAAAGGTGTACTTTTAAACCGCTGTCTTAAAGCCAAAGCAAACAATGAAAAGGTGTTTATCTAGCAATGTCGTAAAAAGCTAAAGAAGTCAAACCAAGGAACGCTAACACAAAACATGTTTGTCGTCTTGAAATAAACATTGCCCGTTTTAGCGTGCTTCAAAGCAGTGGCGTGTGGTGAGGTTCATGCTTGGTGAGGCGCTGACTACTTTGGTGTCAGATTGACAAATATATCAAGCAAAAAAGGGGAGCGTCAATTCAATTCAATTGGCTCAACGTTATATTTGCGACATGCAGCTAGACGGCAAGCAGCACGAGCCAGTCGCACGTATCGACCCAGTTTGTGATGATTGCGCAATGCAATGATTGTGCAATGCAATGCGCACTCAGAGGTGAGGCTCTGCCTCCCCTGCCTCCCCTGACCGCACGTCCCTGCTTCAAAGTTTCTTTGAGCAGGGAAGCTCCTGCTAACGGAACATGAGATGTCCAGGCTCGTCCAACAAATGCACTACGAGTCCGAAAGCAGATGACGCAGAATCGTCATGGAAACAAGGACGGCTGCATTCTCGTTAATACAAGCCAATTTAAAATCTAAATGGTGTTAAAGCCATAATGACCACATAATGTTGCTTTCAATAAGCAGTTTTTTTTAACAGCTGTTCTAAGGGTTTGTCTTTGTTTTCAGAATTGCACGGTGAGCCAGATCAAATGCTATGTGGCCTGGATACCATATGCTCCACGTCCTTGTGGACAATTTTTTTTTGGTTATGAAGACACAGAGTATTGGTACCCCCCTTGCAGTAAAAAAAAAAAAAAAAAAGTCCCACAGTTTTCTCGAATGTGTGGGTAGACACTTACAAGCTCTTCTCAAAGGCAATGTTTCTTTCTTCCTCGCTGTCCACAGCCACCGACAACTGGCTGCCAGCATCTTCGATCACATTGCAGCTGTTGTCCTCATCTTGGAGAGTGTTGACACTGGATTTATGGCTCTAAAATGCACATGGACACATTTTGGTCAGCAATGGAGTAATTGACACTACTCACAAAAAAAAAAAAAAAAGTTAGGCATATTCAACTCTCGGGCGGAATTTCAGGAGGAACCTGAAATGTACTGCAACATTTAGACCGGAACTTCATTTGAATTCTTTTGAATTCAGACTTTGAGCAGATCTTTCATTTGTGATATACTGCTGACTGACCACATGTGGAACTATTGGGAGATGCTGCAAATGTGTCGTAAACCACCATCAGTGTGAAGCTTTTGCTGATCCCCTTTTGGAAATTCATGACCAAATCCCAAGAAACCGGAGAGTATTAAGAACTTTTTGATGGCTATTGCGGCTGTTGGGGGAGATTTGTATATGTAAGAAATGTAGAAAGGTAGCCAGGGATCTGATGGATGGTGGTGATTTATCAAGGAGGATCGGGTGTAGCGGGTGGGTGGGGGTAATGGCATGGAGAGCTGTTATATAACAAATGCCCCTGTGTCACCTAAAAGCGGTCTAATCTAATGTGAATTTGACTGTAATCCGCTTGACATACTGTAGCCTCGCTACATTCTGTTCTCTATCTCTGAACACCGCTTCGTAATTCCTCTGTCAAGTCATGATGTAGGTCAAATTTGCACTTTGCTGTTGGGTCGCTTTCCTTCCCGTCCTAACCCAGCTGGATATTTTGCCATTTCAACTGCAGATTTGAGCTCATACGTCTTTCTAAATGTTATTATCTCAACAGTAATGGCACTTTAGGCTGCCTTTACTTTCTTACGATTTTTTTCTGTCTTGAGTTGAGAGCAAAAATTTGAGTTACAAGCGTAAGCAATGGTGGCGGCGAATTTCGCAACAAGCGGCAGTTTGAAGACAGGGAGCAATTCTTCAAATAATAACCCAATAGCTCGCTTCCAGCTATTTAGTGCCACTTTGAGGTGAAATTTACTTACACCACAGATGGGTTAACAAAACTAGCATGAACGTCAAGGTAAGTATGAACCTTGACACAATGTCTGTTTGAACACAAGCGATAGAAACACAAGGAGACAGACAATACAGTGCAGTGATATTCACGGGCATATATTCTTTATCCTCGGCGAAAAACAATTGATTAACATTATCACAGTTTAGATGAGATGGTCTTCTGTGTTTCTGGAACGAGCTATAACAAATATTGTGAGTGACCCCTGACCTCACAAACTAATGTTTTTCTGAGGGGTAGACCAACTCCACAAGGATCCATCTCAACTTGCCTCTAGGCTTTAACTCGGACTTAAACCGCTCGCCCCAACAGTGACTGTTCTACTCGCCGCTTGATTACATCCAGATGCTGCCGGGGAAAATCCTGCAGGATTGATTCGGCTCCCATAAATCTCTCAGTACAGTTTAGGGTTACCAGACAGCGGTGAAATGTGCATTTGGCACAATTAGTGAAAGGCGCATGATGTGTGCAAATACGAGGCCGTTCACATGCAAATGCTGCTCAGTGTTTGCATGTTTTGTTATTCATAGCTTGAGCACTCTTGTGACTTGCTTGTGTGTTATTACTATACATCATCATTAAGATATGAAACCTGAATACCTCAGGGATTTGATTGCCAAATAAAGCTCAATTTAAGTTGAATAACTGCAGGGGTAGGTTAATAATTTGTGCTGAAAATCAAATCTGCATATGCAACAGTTTACTAAAAGTCTACAAACACCATATTCACTGTCCCCCTTCTGTTACACCTCTCGATAAAATGGCACAAGATGTCATCAAAGCCTTGGCCGATAAGAAAGTAGTAATTGATGTCAAGAAAGTATGTGGAAGTAATACAGCTTGACTGTTCTAAGGTCTTTGTATCAAAGGAGGTGTGTTTAGTCAGGGTTGTTGGCAAAAGTTACGGAGAGTCTTTACCGCAAGTGTGTTTGAAATCACCAGGTGGTGGGTTCATGGAGCAAAAAACGTCCCGACAACCGGACGGTTGTGTTACATGAATTGTTGCAGGAGTTTGACAATTTCTGACTGTCTGCGAGGCAATGAAAGTATTTGAACGTGAACCGATGAGTCCCTGAATATAATTGGCTAAATGAGTTGGATGGGGGCGGGGCCTGTCCAACCAAAGACGACGGAGGAGTGAGTGTTTGAGTTTGTGTTTGGAGCGGCGCAACTGAGAAAAATGTCAATGATCTCATCAATGAATCGAAGTTGCCTTGACTAACATCACCTTGTCAACTACAAAAGATTTAAAGTTGTTTTAGCCCAATGTATTACCGTATGATTTATATGAATAAGAGAGACATTACAAGACTTTGTGTTTCTCCGTCAGGCAGGAGGTCCAATAAGTCACCCTCATGGGAAGGCTGCAGAGAAGACGATGAAGCTTCACGACTCAAAAGCCTATCATTCCATGCCTGTGCAATAAAACATGAGGCATTATCTTCAAATGTTTCATCTGAATAAATACACATATTGATGGAATCACCGCCTCACCGCATCTGTCGAGGGGATGATCATGAAGTCGCTATCATACAGGTCCAAAGGCCTCGGCTGAACTCCGCTGTGGGAAAGGAGTGACGGCTGTCTCCTGCACATCTGCTTGTCGACCCGCGCCATTCCTCCCCCGGCGTCGGAGCTCAGCTTCCGGACTGGGCTGGTGAGCCACTTCTTCAAGGCGCTGACGGGGTGCCGTGATCTTCCAGAGCCCGGGCTGGAGCTGCCTGAGGCCCGGTGGGGCGCCGAGCCCAGCGCCAGGTTAATGGTGCTGTCGACGGTAGCCACGGAGTACGACTCTGCTGCGGGGAGCAGAGCGGTTAATTGTGGGAGTTTGTCCTCTCGGGTCACAAGCTTCAGACTTCTGCACAAAAATGTTCAATTTCCTGTGCTGAGCCCTCACTGAAACTTAAGTCGCTGCAACTGCTGTACCCATTGCTGCGACATTTTAATTCCTACTACAGATTTGCTCTCGTGAGGAACGTCTCCAAATCACAGGCGGAAATTCTACATGTTATTTTGACTGTACGTACTTGTTTTTGACTGTGAAAATATCACAGGTTCAATAGAAGAAGAAGCAGCAGAAACCGGTCCTTTTTTTTCTTCCTGTTCCTGAGACTGTATGACTGTAATAATATGCAGTAGCTGTCTGAGATGTGTGATGTATCTCAGCCAATTGATAGAATAATGCATGTTTAAATTATTCATTTGAGCTTTTTGTATGTTCTGCAAAGCAGGTGGGAATTAGAATGTACAGTTACACACACACTGAACTCATAAAAAGTGTCTATAGTCGGGTAAATATAAACTAAAATGAAATTATGTATCTGGGCTGGTTGCAAAATGGACTGCTAGTGAAAGTATAAACCTCAAGACAGTCACAACTCAGTTCATAATTTTCATTCATCGAGACTTCTATATGTGATCCTGTCATGCCCCAGCTGGGTTTTTTTCCCCAACTTTCAGCTTTAACATCGTGTCATCTAATCTTCACACACAGTGTTTCCATGAAGAACTCTAACATTAACATGTCACCCATTCGTTTTAGTTGTCCAGGACTATATTGCCATAAGCCAGGAGTCCCTGTCAGCACATTTATGGAAGCTTTAATCACAATGACAAGTCTGGAAGAGGCCAGTGAATATATGTGGCTGGGCGTTTGTCCAGACTGCCATAAGGCCATTGAACAAGAGACCATACAAAGCGGAAAGTACAAATGCAGATGGTCATGCGTTAGCCAGTGATATCCCAACACACAAACGTTCAATTTATCGGTGAAAACATGATAGGAAAAAGGTTATTGTCCGGTGGGCAACTGGTTAGCATGTCGGCCTCACAGTGCAGAGGTGCAGGGTTCGATTCCAGCTCTGGCCTTTTCTGTGTGGAGGTTGCATGTTCTCCCCATGCCTGCGTGGGTTTTCTCCGGGTATTTCGGTTTCCTCCCACAATCCAAAAACATGCGTGGCAGGTTATCGCTATACAGTGATCCCTCGCTACTTCGCGGTTTGTTTTTCACGGGTTCAGTGCATCACGGATTTTTTCAAACATATAGAAAAATATATAATAATAATATATATATATATATATTTTTAATATACATGGAGTACAGTACTGTATATGTTGCGCTATGTGACTCGCTGTTGTTTTGCAGCTTCTCGCGGACCGTTTGCGAACTTTAAAAAAATAAAAAACATTTTTTTTTTACCTGTTTATGTTAATTGGACGCTACTTCGCGGATTTTCGTTTACCGCGGGTGGTTTTGGTCCCCATTAACCGCGATAAACGAGGGATTACTGTACTCTAAATTGTCCCTAGGTGTGAGTGTGAGCGTGAATGGTTGTTCGTCTATGTGTGCCCTGCGATTGGTTGGCAACCAGTTCAGGGTGTCCCCTGCCTACTGCCCGAAGACAGCTGGGAGAGGCTCCAGCGCGCCCAAGACCCTCGTGAGGATAAGTGGATCAGAGAATGGATGGATGGTTTAATATAAAGCTTTCGTAGGTGACAAAATTGCTATTCATAACAACCCCTGATGAAAAAGATGCTCTAATTCAGTTACAGGTGGCATTTAGCAGGAATTGCAAATTCTTGCTCCTCTTTGTGCCAAGCTTTGTACTTTGTATGTTTTCGTTTGGAATGTGGAGATGTGATTCCGGTGCTGCTCGATAGAGGGGCGGAACTATTCTCGTGGAATACAGGTCACGTCAGGATCCAGAAAAATCCTTGACTCTACCAGCTTGCATATCTTTACCAACAGCGATGGGTTGGTTTGAGCGTGTTAAATAGTCGAAAGAATGTCCAAGTGGCCTTTGCATCCTTCAATAATTCTGTATGCGGCCCTTGGAAGAAAAACGTTGGACACCCTTGTCCTAAATCTTGAGTGATGGTCACTGTGATGTTTAAATTGCTGCTGAGGTGCACGTTAGTGTTTGTTTGAGGAGCTTATGTAACGGGCCGTTTTCCCACAGAGCAACAGCTGGACGTCCATCCGGACCCGAGGGTGTCAGCAGTGCGCGCAGACACAAACGCTGGGATTTCAACCTTGCATGTAGGCTTCATAGGCAGGAAAATGAAGGCTGAACCACGGCAAACTAAAGCTGATTTGTGAGAGTTGTCAGCGCCTCCAGTCAGCCGTGCCGTGTTGGCAGGTGGATTAAAGGCGGCTGAGGGTGATTGAAAAAGACAAAACGTCAGCAAGGACACAAAATCACTGATAGAAATCTCTGTGAATTTTTCCAACAGCGGTCGTTTGTGTCCACTGTATTGCTGCTGTAAGCAACTATTTGTATTGAACCATGGTAAGGAATTCAACATATATAAAGACATTACATGTTACTGTAGCTGGGAATAATTTGCACTGTTTATGCATGCATGCAAATCTGAGAATGCGTTAAAACGTTCACTCACTTCATATTTTACCAGGGCTCTGATGAGACAAACTTTTCATCAAAATGTTTTAGTGGTTTGTTGACTGCGACTCAAAGTCAAGACTAAAAATGCTCATCATCAGGTGTACGGCCTTTTTTTTTTAGATGCTTCTTTAACACTTCACTGAGTCGAAGCGCGATGAAAGTGGTGCATACGTGACACATGTCATTTGTGAGTCACGTGTGCCAGGGAGCTCAAGACTGACTGCTGCTTCATATTTTTGCTCAGACTAATAGATGAAATCCTCATTAAAACTAAATCCTGGCACAGCCTTCCTGTTGAGTGTTTGCAGGGGGTGAAATGCATGGTTAAATATAACACAGACTGACTGGAATTTCACTCAGTGAAGCTCATGACATTTGATTTGCTCTGGTTGTCGTTTCTGCAGCTAGCTTGTTTTGCAACATTGTGGGTCGAATCCCCAGACGAGAGCACGGAAAAAATTTCCGCCGCTTTGAAAATTTTCATCCTGTTTTTATGTTCAAATACAACGCGTCACGCATGTTTACTTGCCTGAATGTTCCACAAATAAACAGTCTGAATAAAGAATGTAGTTCAAGAGCACATCGGATTGACAGATGCTGCAGACCAGTAGTTCTTCAAACTGTTTACTCCTCGGAAAATATTTGGCTCCTTCAGTATGGCCATGATTACTGACACTACAATACAGTTGCATAGTAGGTCCATGTGTTCATCAAAAAAGTGGTGCAGGCTTTCTGCCTCAGAAGTATATTTTGTATGAAGGTAAGCCACGATATCATTATGGAAAGTCTGAACATTAAATGGGGAGTTTACAATTTAAAAAAAAAAAAAAAGTCATGCTATATCATGTTTGTGAAAACTATCAGTAAGTCACTATGCCTGAGGTAAAACAACCACTCACAGCCAGAAGAAGATATGTGTTGAAAACGTGGAAAGACTGGGGAAGCATTTTGCACAGAATTGCTGAGATATCGCGTTTTTTTTTCACTCTCTCAGTTATCCGGATTTTTTTGGCTGGGGCTGAAACGCGGGCGAGATGACGCAACCAAAGAACAGCTTTCTTGCTGATCATACTTATGCCCATTTCTACCACTACAACACGCAGTTAGCATCAAGCTATGCCTACCAGCCGTCCCAAAACCCAAAAAACAAAAAACCTTCTTTCCTGAAGTTTTACTTGTCATGGCGAACCACACTAAAGTGAGGCTTATCGACCTGCTTTATTCTATTTTCATGACCCAGAGCCAACCCTGGAAAGGATTAAAAAAAAAAACCCAATATGGAATCAGCAACGTTTCTGCTCGACATGTAAATTTGAAGTTGGACAATGAATCTTCAGACTATTTTATGCACACGTGATATATATAGGTAGTCATGGTTGGTTTCTCATCAATTCCCTTGACATACCATAAAAACTCTCTTCCAAGGCTTAATTTTTACAAGTCACACATTCATTATCAGCATCCATCCACACAGGGTGGCTCTGCAATCAGTCCGTGAGCAACTGGAACAACACTGGATTTAAGGGTCAAGGCAGTGATGTGCGTGCATGCACGTGGTGGTGTGTGTCTTTGTGTTTAGTTGCTTTGGCTCCAGACCACTTCGAGGATAGTATTGAGTTCGTTTACCACACACACGGTGTATACAAAATTACCAACATTATACACAGAACAAAACACAGAATAATGTCTACTAATGCTGCCACCAAATATTGATGCAGTACTCATAATTAGAGGCATTTGCGTACATATACAGTGAAGCTCGCTGATGTAAATAAAACCTTTTGTAAAGAAATATTTGAAACTTTTTTTTCCGATTTTCTATAACAGTGTTTATACATTGAAAAAAAAAATCTAACAAAACAAAACAAAATGCAGTCAATTGCCATGGTGGAAGAGCATTTAACTTTTTCTGCGTGTCACTAAATGTCACAAGCACAGTATAAATAGATGAACAGAGAAACTATTTGTAGTAAACAGTAATAATTTTCGGACAAATTTAATGAAATTGGACAATTTTCGGGGTGCACCTCTCAAGTCACACTGGTTGGGAATCACCGTTATTTACAGAATATGGTGCTGTGTCAGTTTTTTCCATTTACCATGAAGCCTATAAGTGATAAACATCTATTTAATCCAAACAGCACATTTTACAGCCGGTACATAAGGAACAAACGTGCAGTAGGATTCCGTGAAATATGGAAAATATTCAAACATTACAGAAAAATCTGATAAGAATGTAGGAGAAGGTAAAGAAGCAAATGTTAGATAACCCACGCAAGGGTTTTTGAGGCAAGCATCCATGTATCGTACCTCTCACTTGGACAAAGCAGCATCCACATTTACGGAGCAGTTTTCTCAAGAGGTGCTGGCACCCGCATCCCCGTTGCCGGTGACCCCCTCTCATGACCATCCTTTGCCACTGGCACATTCAAAAGTCACATCCAGTGCAAGCATAGTGGTGGATAAACAAGGGCACACTATTCCGGTGGTAATCCCCAGAGGAAAAGACATAAAGATTGTCCTGTAGTTCTTTTCCAAAGAGAAAATGCAGCCAAAATGGTCTAAAAACACTCTAGCTCGTTGTGGCCAGACTGTAAGCGAAGTGAGTATGAGAGGGACAATAAGTACTTGAAGGGCTGACAGAGAGGGAAGGTGGGGGGTGTCGGGATATGTGATGAGGGTGGATATAACATGCACACATGGCTGAGCTCGCATCAAAATCCTAGCCCCGCCTCCTCTCACCGTCTTGCCACCCTTTGATCACCCTCTTTTGCTTCCCCAATATGCTTTTACACTCTTCTTCTGTTTTGGTAAGCAGCTTGCTTAATAATGGAAACTACATCCACAAAGAGGAATGAGAATAAGAACTGGAGACACTGAAATGGGGACTACAATTCAATTTTGCCATTCCTCGAGTTAACGAATCCGAATGTACCACTCTTGCAGCAACACATGTAGACAGACAATGTAACATCATTCACAGGCATATTTTCTTTATCCTCTGCGGAAAAAAACAAGTAATACCTTTGCAGTTTACTGAGTCATAATAATAGTGAAAGTGTGTTTTGTTTGTGTCTTCGTGACTGTTTGTACTGACCCCCAGTGGCCAAGTCGCACACACCAGAAAGAGTCGCAATGAATTATCAACATGACGCACAAGCTGCTTAATTTTTTGGCATTGTATTTAATTATGTTATGACTATATATTTTATAAAGTACCAACCTGCATGTCCACGCAATAAGACCCACTCCTTAAGTTGCTTTTGTGACTACAGGTAGCAAAGAACCGATAGTGGAAAAAAGCAACAGGTGGAAATATCAGCAGTGATATGAGCTGGCAGGACAGAGGCGGTCAGATTTAATCTCAAAGCCAAGATTAAGTATTCATGACTGGATGATCTTCTGAGTACAGCTGTCCGATCATGTGGCAGCCGCTAGTGTGATTCCAATGCACATATACTCGCATGAACCCAAACATGGAAATAGTCAGTGAAGAAAAGGATTCCGATTTCGATTCACCACTGAGGATGCAAAACTTTTATGAATGTGCTTGATCAGCACAACATGAGTGCTAATCAATTGGAGTGTGTTGGATTCGCTTCCATGAGATAAACTATGAATGACTATAACCATACAATATTTAATCATGGGGTCAAAGTTGAGAGGGGGAGGGGATCGGTGGGGGGTGGCAGCTAAACTCTCAACTTGATCATAAAGTGTCCCACTTCAATTTTATTTGCAGTGTAAAAATCAGGGGAGTGTTTGCTTCACTTTGTTAGCTGTGTTGCCCAATTATGTCTTTTTTCCCTTTTTTTTTCCTTTGTCACCAAATACCTTCTTAAAACAACAATAGTATTTATATTTGCTTATCACGAATTTCCATGAATTCTGATTTGAGAAGAAGAGGACAAAAGTGCTTGCTTCAAGATGTTATACTGCCACTCCCGGTTGACTTTAACTGGAAAATTAATCTTGAAAAAAAGACAATCACGTGCCGTGTATTTAACAAAACACCACATATCGTTGTCTGACGAAAGTCAGGAAGGAAGCTTCATGCGAAAAAACAAATGCAAAACACCATAGACGGGCTAATGAAATAAGCACTGATGCCGCGGTGTGATAACCCTTTAAAAAAATTGATATTTGAACACAAACGGTGCGGCAACAAACTGAAGACCGACAACAAATCGACACTCTCAGGCAAACATTTTTTATCCTCGTCGGAAACTAACCATTTACATTGTATTCAATTGTTACTGCTGTATGTTTTTATGAAAAAAATAAAATAAATGAAGAGTCAACGTTTTCAGTTCTTAGTTTGAAAAAGGTGGGTGACCCTTGCTCGTAGAGAAACCATAAATATGGTGTAGCCTGCAATAAAAATGAGTTTGACTCTGTCGCGAAAGTGTTTGTGACTTAAAATCAATTCAATGAAATATGATCATTAATTATTTTTATCAAAGACTGAAATACACACTGTATGATAGTTATTATTATTTTGGTTTATTACCTTTCCATCCTGCAGCCACGCTGAACCTCCTGGCCCACTTGAACTCCATCTTGGTATGTTGATTGCTGTCAGTCAACAGTTTCTGTTTGCTGCTTTCTGAAATCTTACACAAAGTATGCGTGTCAAACCTGCACAAATGGCTTTGTTTACATTTATAGTGCTTGAGAAATGTTGACTAGTTCAAGGGATAAATAAATTGATGTGGAGATTAGGCTCAAAATGTCACATTTAAATGTTTTTAAATCCCTCGTCACACTTTTCCTCCTACTAATGTTGCTTCGGTTTGAGTGGTTTCTTATCTTATCAGCGGACTTTCTCTGATAGCGCTAAACTTAACACCACAATTAGAAAAGCGAAATGGAAAGCTAGCATGATTTCCAAAGCAACAATAAAAGAGAGAAAGCAAAATTGGATGTAGGACATGAATTGAAAGTATGACCGAAAGGTGTGTAAGAATAATATCAAATCTTTGAATTAGTTACAGATATCAAGAGTTACTTCCAAAGTACAACATAATAAGAAAACAAACACAACTTAAAAATCAACGAAGTTGGTGTAAGAAGGGCTAGATTTGCGAAAGCAAACTTCTAAAGCAAAAAAAAACCAAACAAACAAAAAAAAAAACAATTAATGCATAAGCAGCAGTTAGATTAAGAAAATGAATGATTTAAATTTCACATCATTTAAATAACGGAATACTCACTTTTTCAACCTTGTGTCGCTTCAGTTGTTCCGTCCTCCCTTGTACTTTTGCCAAAGTCTTCATTGTTCACCTCGTGCTCTTGTCCTCCTCATGAATCAACGTTCCCTCTTCATCTCCAGATCTTCCTCATTCCTTGTATCCTCTGGAAATGGACAGGGGAAGTGTTAGACAAACATGTCAGTCAGTGTGTTTGGCTTTCACTCCATGAGAACAAAAGAACAGAAGCTTTCTTCTTCTGGACACATGAGGACAGCTGGTCAGATGCAGCGGGATCGCTCCTCAGACCACTCCAGTTAGGAGGGGAGGGAGTGGGTTTGATGTGTCCAGACAGGCCCACAGCCACGTCCCATAAGTCCCATGGGCTCATTCCCACAGCAGGCCTTTGAACTGTCTCAGAAAACCTGATAACTATCATCATGAGCATTCATTGAAAAAGTCGTTACAATGACAGTTTACAGCTCCCTGAGTGATTTCACACTTTTCTCATATTTGTTTTCTACAAACATGCACAGACTGCGTATAAAAACCTGAAAACACACGAAACGCCCGAAAACGAAACTTCAGATTTTAACCAATTTGGAAAATTAACATTTGAGTAGCATGTGTTGTAAAGGTAATTTTTTCCACCCTACCATGTTGTTTTCACCCATCTAACGGGAGCAGGGCAAGAAAGGAGGATAAAGGGTTGAGGTAACGCTTCTTAAATCGAGATGTCAGATAAGGCAATGACCCAAGTCCATTCTACTTTGTCAAAGAAAAAAATGGATCGGACTCATTTCCCGTGTACAGTGTAACCTCTGACTCGGATTTCACAACAAACTTTCCATAGGAAATAATGGAATTCCCAGGGACCAGTTGACGTTTTTTATCTTTATTAACTATACTGGTATTAAAGTAACATTTATCATTCCTAAATGTAATTACATCAAATCAACCCATAACAGGCACTTGGGCTTTAAAAAAAAACACATTGTTTTTCCCATTTTTTAACTTATTCTCTTCTCGTCTTCTCCTTCTCTTTACAGCCCATGAAGGCACCGTATGTATATTACCAAGTCTCAAAATAAACGGGTTTTCATCGCAGTTAGCGAGGCAAAATTAATATCTTTCGCACGATCAAAACACATTGAATAATAGCAACACCAATAATCAACCGCGGTCCCAAAAAGTTTCGCTTGGCTGTGGATTTTCGCACGTCTCTTACGACACCTACTGTGTCGAGTAGCGCCCGCTAGCTAGTAACAAGCTTCGGCTGGCTACTCGTGCGGCGACTTTGTGAAATTGTTCCTTACTAAGCGACACATAACAGCAGCATAAGCACGAACAGACACACAGCGTGGTGAAATAAAAACACAACAAAAATAATCTAAAACAAAAGCGCAGGCGCGAAGAACGGGGAGCGAGGAAACAGTCGTATCTGTTGAGTGTATTACAGTACGAAATTACCGTAGATTACAGTACATCTCACTTTTTAAATCAATTTAGTTTACCCTCTCAACAAGAAAATACAGTTTGCTACTGGACAAAATGTCACTCTCAGGAAAAACAAACAAACAAACAGTTGAAAATATAAAAAATGCTCCACAAAAAATGTTCCTCCTCATGTGAAGTCATTGGATCGCAAAACTGTTCCGCAAAGAAAAAAATATATACCGGTATTTTGAGCCTTGTGTGCGCGCGTGTGTGTGTGTGCGTGTGTGTGTGTGTGTGTGTGTGTGTGTGTGTGTATATACATATATATTTATAATCTCTCTCTCTCTCGTGTCTATGTGTGATTTGTATATATTGATAATCTCTCTCTCTCTCTCTCTCTCTCTCTCTCTCTCTCTCTCTCTCTCTCTCTCTCTCCATGACACAAGGGCTGATGAGGGCTGCAGTCTGTGTGTCTGGCAAAGTTCGCCATCTTGTGGTGGATCTTACGCACAACGTCACCCAACACAGCCTTGTCGTTTGCATTTGAGAGCTTGGAAACGGTCCCATCTGTTGGGAGCATGTTGGTTCTCACTGACGGGATTAATACAGAACTGTGCGTGACAGTCAATTCGTGAGATTCCTTTGGTCTTGCTTGACCACTTTTACGTCTTATAACAAACACGTAACTCCAAATTGTTGACTCATTCATGTGCTCTTTACAAAAATAATGATTGTACGATGGGGCGATATTTTTTGACACACATTATCATCAGAAATCACAAATTGTAGGACACTATTTTTTCCACAGCATTGAGACAAAAATGAAATGTTATTGGTTATGATGCAGTGATTGATGAGAGATTATCAGAAATTATCCAATTTCATTAATTTGCTCTAGAAAAAAGTGATTTTATGTACTGCAAAAAATATGTTTGATCATAAATCGAAAATGAATTGATAATTTTTTGGTACAGGCTGATGGTTTGAATTTGATCAACAACATTAGATTACAGGTACAAATATTTTTGGTGTTCGAGAAGACTTCTTCAATTCACCATTTTTAACCCAGCTATGCTGGTCTACTATAACTCCTGGCTGGGGTGGTTCAACTTTGGCAGTACGTTGCGGTACCCAAATAAACCATGTCGGGTTATTTTTAATCCAGCAGTTTTAGGGACACGCGCGTATTTTTGCCCTGATTAAATACATTTTGTCAAGATACGAAGTAACTTTGTCCAGTGGTCAGTCTTTTGAACGGGTCAGCCTAAATACACACCATTTTAGCGTTTTATAACCAGTTCTATTTTTGGCATGTTTTCTACAGACACTGACTGGTTGTTGTCCTGTATGTAATAAGTAAAGTATATGTAGAACAGAATCACAAATTAGTTCACAGTTTAAAATTTGAATAAACAGTCTACTGGATTAGACAAAACAATAATAATTAGAGAACCTAAACAAGCAGTAACACATGAAATGGTATGAAAAAAATAAACATTTTAACATTAGTAAAATCTAACAATGGCCTGTTTTCAGCAGTGTTGCACTTGGTACAGTCCATCAAACATAGAAGACTGTCGGAAATAAAAAAAGAAACGAGGACATAATTGTCACAGAACGAAGTCACGTCTAACTTTACATTAGGTAGCTAGCTAGCTAGCTAGACAGATAGATAGACAGATAGATAGATGCTGTTGACGGACGCCCCACGTGACTGAGGTTATTCTGAGGTGCGGGGTTATTCCTTATTTAGCAGGCGTGTGTGCTCAGCAAGGCATTTAATTCCTGATCCAGTTACTTAACTGTGAGGGCCCTCACATGGCGACACCCACTCCATGACGGCCAGGTAATACAGCCATAATCTCTGACAGGTGGACTCTTGCTGCCACTTTCTTCGTAAACAAACCATTTCATGAGTGTTTTAGACCTCGCGATCGAATTGCAATGGTTGTCTTTCACCTCGGCTACATTATTCCATCCCGTCTGTGATTCCCTGTTAGATGTAACCAGAGGATAGACGTCATTTCACCTGACTCTGCTGGTGGAAAATGGCCACCGCAGCAGAGGACCCTCACCTGGGTGCAGGCCCTGATGATGAGGACGGGTCTCTGTCGGGTTGGGACTCAGACAGCATCCTGTCCGACGACTCTGTGCTGCCAGACTACACGCCGGAGACATCCGACGGGCCGACGGCATGCACGCTGTACCAAGCATGCGCCCGTAATGACCAGGCCTCTCTACGGAGGGTTCTGGAGAGAGGGGTGACAAGGGAAGAGGTCATGGACTTGGACATCAATAACTGGGTAAGGCTCATGTTCGGGTGTGATTGAGAAAACACACGACGGATTTTTGCTGCTGAGATGCTATTCCGTTCAGTTGTTGAGTTTCAACTCATGTTTCCTCGAAGATGCGCACGTAGACTTCAGAAAAGAAATATGGGTGGACAGTGTAAAACACCACCTGAAGAACTACATGATTGATAATACCAAAACCTAAAAATTCCTCTCACCACACCATTCCAAGAGGATTAGATCATCCTTGAAAATACAAACATCGCAGGGGTGCTACAAAAGCCTGACAAGTGCAAATGTTTTCCACAACTATCGTTGTTTGCAGCGTTCTTAAAATATGACTATAGCTGTTCATAAAAAGCTTTAAAGTGAACTTCAACAGATTCACAGCATTGCCTGACCACACGTCCATTTATCACTTTCCTGTGAATTACATTCAACAGAATGGCTTGATGGTGGCTTGCTGCAAAGGATTCATAGACATTGTGTATGGTCTGAATACCTGCCCCTACATAGACATCAACCATCAGGACAACGAAGGCAACACAGCACTGATGATTGCATCCCAAGCAGGTAGGTCAAAACTAAACCCTACAATACAACCAGAGAAATTTGTCATCCCAACAATGTCCGCTTCTCCCAATATATTTTATCTTCAAATATTGTTTAAATACTTCCGACTGATGCTTTTTGATCCTCAGGTCACGTTAACACGGTCATGTACCTCCTAAACTATTACCCCGGAATAGACACAGAAATAAAAGACTGCCGTGGCTTCACAGCCCTCATCAAAGCTGCAATGACGGGCCGCGATGACGTGGTTGCTGCGCTCGTGATGGCCGGTATGTGAGATAATTTCATGATGAAGATGAGGATTAAGTGCACATTTTCTGATCTTCATATCCAGTCAACATTTGCAACAAGACTCTCGCACAGGAGCTTTTCTACTATGATGACACAGATCTTTTTTGAAACCTGGCCATTATCCTATTAACCTCCAAACGTTCAGTTCTAGAATAGCTGGCCAGGCCGTTGAGCTGTTCATATTTTAAGCCAGCTAACTTTGTCCGCCAGAGTATGACGCCAGGCGGGTTTAAGGGATCATTCTGAACATATTATCACAAGAAAAAAAAAATCACCTGTAATCAGTGATTTTCAGATCAGGAACTCTACCTCTGCCGCAAGTGGAGATCTTGCAGTTTCTTATCAATGTACTTTGCGCATATCGATCCCATGTGTCTACATGCCATGTAGACAGTGCAGCTCTCTCTGCACTGAATTTAAAGGGAATGAGAGGAGCCGGTTCGTTTGGCCAGACGTCGGCTGCGTTCTGTCCGTTTCACCATGGCGCCTTCTTGTACACCCCTTTCCATCTGCGCCTATGTACGAAAATGCCCCCCAAAAAAGAAAATTCCACCAATGCACACAGTTAGATTGCACTTTAAACTAGACATGCGCTGGGTGCAAAAATTGCAAGCATCGGTGAACTGACTGATTCCTCTTTTTGTGCAGGGGCTGACATCAACGTAACAGACACCACGAGAGGAAAGTGCGCTCAGGACTGGGCGCTAAAAACAGGTCGCTATGAGACACTGTATCGTCTGCGCCGCCTCAAAATGAGGCCAAAAGCTGAGCAGTTTTGTGAAAGCTACATCCCGGAGTGGCCTGAGCTCAAGGAGAGGGTCGCAAAGGCTATGGCGGAAAAAAGCACCCGGGAAAAAATCACCCATCACATTAAGAACACATTTGGATTCCGATTTCCTCATGACCCCGAGGATAACGGAGTTTTGGACCATATGGTGCGGATGACCACCAGTATCCACAGCCCCCTCATTTCCACTGGGTGTCGTCCACTGTGCCCCACCAGTCCCCCTGAATTGGGCAAGCGGCGCCTCGCCGTACCAGAGCTGATGAAGAAACACTCCGAGAAGGAACTGGAGGAAAGTTCCGTGTGCCACAGCAACGGCTCCGTGTCACACATCATTCCCTCCATCCACTCGGCTGACTCCATCGCGACAACCTGCTGCGCCGACGCTGAGAGGAGGGGCAGCATCCTCTCACTGGCCTCCACCAAGGTCGCCTCCAAGTTCATCCCTCGAAGTATGGCCAGGAGAAACAGCGTGTTCCCTTCGGGATGTATCCCCCAGATCAATATCAACAGACCAACAGAGGCCACGCCAAAGAAAGAAAAGAAGAAGAAGGCAGAGAAAGGCTACCTGGAACCACCAAAGTGGAAATATAAGGAGATCAAGGAAGAAAAGAAGAAGGAGAAAAAGGAGAAAGAAAAAAATGAGAAAAAAAGAGAACACAACCGCACAAAGACCAAAAAATAACTTAATTCCTAAAGCTTTATTATTTCAGAACCGAAGTTTTTTTTTTTTTTTTAAATAATTACTACTCAGGGTTTCAAAACAGTCATGATTGATTCATGAAAACAAATAAGCTGAGAAACACAGTTTCTGTTCAAGCAGTGGAACCTCGGTTTTCATATGCTCTAGTTTTTGTCCAGTTTTTGTCTTTTTTTTTTTTGCCAAAATTTTGTCACAGTTTTCATACATCTACCGGTACTCAATTTTCATGAAGTTGAAAATGGTTGTCGATATTCATTTCAGGGCATAGAATTAATTGCAAAATACTGAGTAGTTGAAGGTTAATCTGTCCATTTCATTAATTAGTTACATTTATTTCACACTGATTTCGGTGTATTAAACTACAGTTGTTCTCCTAAAATATATCATTATTAATATTTGTTGTTGGGTAGGGTGGAATAGACAAATTGGATTTGCATTATTTTCTATGGGAAATATTTCTTCAGTCTCTTAAAGAACATGATAGTTATTAGTTTTCTTTTTTATCGGCTTTGATACAATATGTAAAACCTATGGCTACTGATTCAGTTTCTTTGGTGCAAATTATGCACCGAGGCATCTATTGCAACTACCTCATAAGTTCAAAAGGCACAGACATGACTACACGAGGGATGGGCAATTTCTGGTTAGTTGTATTTATTCATTTCTTCAATTCATTCATCTAATTAAATAATTAGTTAATGTATTCAATATATCCAGATAATTATTTAAAATTTGTGGGGAAAAAATAGACATCAACATTCAAATATTCAAATATATTTTAATCAAATAATTGTCTCATTAAACCCAATTAAATATGAATACAATTAATATGAGAATGAATTATTTACATCCACGGGAAAAAAAATGTGAACCGAGCAAAAACATCTGGTGCTTATTTGTGAACTACACCAAAATTGTCGGTGTCAACCCCTCTGAATATTGACACACATAAGCATATTAATTAATATTAATCGTTATCATGATGTGCATTTATTTTATCGTCTGTTTGGCAAATATATGATTTACTGAATAAAATAAAAAATGTATATGTTGTAAATATGGAGCAAACTTGCATTAAAACTGAGAATGCCAGACAGTAATCCTCAAATGTTAAGAATTTAATGTATTATTTTGCCCAATGCGTTTTAGATAGATAGATAGATAGATAGATAGATAGATAGATAGATAGATAGATAGATAGATAAATAGAGCTAGGCATTAGTTATTTGTTATGCTTCTCAACAATTTGTGTAGTACAACTTGTACTGCCTCGAGGAGGATTTCATGTCATGTGTCCTCGCATCATCCCACTTTAGATGGCTAACTGAGCAAAAAACGTGCTACGATGTAGTGCAACGCTGCGCAGTTTTTTTTTTCATTCGTTATGGCGAATTTACGCATTGTGCTAGTGTTCGTCAATTGTCTAGTCGTGTACAGAGGCTGTGAAGGTGAGTCGCATTTTTTGTTCACCTCTGAACCAACAAGGCGAACCATTGTGGCGATCGCTGCTTGTAGCAGCATTATGCTAGTACAGCTAGCCTTGTCACAAGATTCGCTCGCTCTTTTTTGTTTGTTTGTGATTCTAACGCTGGAATAAAGCCATGACTGTAACTCACTTCAGTAGTGTAATCTTTCGGTTGAAGTAGAGTTGTTTTTAAAACCACTTAGTTTGTGACGTTGCGTTCGTTAAATGAGTTATCACGTTGCGGCAACAATGAATTCCCAGTTTGTTTTTGGTGAAGATGTTTTCTTACTGTTTATCCTCGTATTCTCTCCTGACGTTATCCCACTTGTCTAGTTGAAGTCATGCTGTAAAATAACTGTATTAGGTGGCGCAGAACTGTGCTGAATACTTGGGGAAACCGTAAATGATTAATACAAAACAGCTTTGCATGAATAGTTATATTGACAATAGCCTTCAAGTCTCAAGCAAGTCCCAAATCAACTTAATCTAGGCAGACTCGCCCTTCTCTTTCTGCAGCCATGTTTTCAGTAAAAGCTATTTGTCATTTAGCGGTGATGGATGAATAATGAATTTAATTCAATAGAAATTGGTTAAGTTCCTGCCCGTTAAACATTTTTATTTACCTGGAGACGTTCAAAGAAATAAATAATTTCCATGACATTTAGGGCAGTACATGTTAGTTTAAGGATTATCGATCAATCAAAAAAAAAAAAGAAGTTTATTTTATGTAGTGGCACCTAGCCAGTCTCATAACACTCAATGCCGTCTCTTGTGTTGTCACGCACGATGATGGATTGAACTCCCAAGTTTTGTTTGATTTTTTTTTTTTAAGCATATCTTGTGACTCTCTTGGACACTAGCCTTTAGTCGTGCCTGCATCTAACTCCACAGCTCTTCTGTGCAACTGCACCATTGCGGAGTGTGAGAGGACGACGGGCTTCTGGTGTGAGACGGACGGAGCCTGCATGACCTCCACGTCGCTCATCGAAGGTCAAGAGCAGCACGTTCGTACTTGCATCACCAGAGACAAACTTGAACCACCCGGACAGCCCTTCTACTGTCGCAGCACGGAGGGCCTGGTCAACATCCACTGCTGTTACACCGACTACTGCAACAGCATTGACCTCAAAGTGCCATCTGGTGAGAACAAAATCTAAGTTTACATGTTTAGTGGACTCTCACAAAATAAAAACGCAGTGTCCTCAACCAGCTCAGCCCACTCAACATCCACTTCTGGATTATGTAATTACTTCTACCAGGGATGTGATGATTTCATCAGCGCCCCGTTTGTTTGTTTCTTTGTTTGACTGCAACTTTAGCTCTACAGATTTGGATACATTGGAATCGCAAAAAATTTTCAAGTTGAAGTTCAGCCTACATATTAAGGAAAAGATATGGCTCGAAATTCAAACACAAGTTGACGAATTTTAAAGTGTCCCTTTCATCCTTCCATTTTTCTATACGCGGCCCTAAAAAGTTTGGACACCCCTGTTCTAAATTGTCCATAGGAGTAAATGTGTGAATAATTTTTTTGTTTGTTTATTTACATGCGCCCTGCAATTGCCCCCCCCAAAGACAGCTGGGATTGGCTCCTGTTCACGTGTGACCCTATTGTATTACTCTTGGTTCAATTTGCTGAGCAGTAAGGAAAAACGTTAGCTGAGTTATTGCATTCCATAATCATGCCGGATTAATTTTCTTCAGTGACTACGCAGTCAAGCCCCGATGAAGGTCTATGGCCGGGTGGGAAGTGGGGGCTGCTGGAACTGGTCGCCATGATAGCGGGGCCGCTGCTCTTGCTGTGTCTGCTGCTGCTGCTCGGCCTGCTCGTGTGTCAGTACCAGCGAGGGGCCTGCAGCCACCGGCAAAGGCTCGAGGTGGAAGACCCCTCCTGCGACCACCTTTACATGTCAAATGACAGGAGCCTGCAGGATTTCATTTACGACCTGTCGACATCTGGTTCCGGCTCAGGTCGGGGCAAAGTGTAATTACTGAACGGCATGCCGACTTTCATGTGCTCTGTTCACATTTTTTTTTTGGGGGGTGGGCTTTGTGCTGTTCAGGCCTGCCTCTGTTTGTCCAAAGGACTGTGGCCAGAACAATTGTTCTCCAAGAGGTCATCGGAAAGGGGCGCTTTGGTGAGGTGTGGCGAGGACGTTGGCGGGGCGGCGACGTGGCGGTGAAAATCTTCTCCTCCAGAGAAGAGCGCTCCTGGTTCCGCGAGGCTGAAATCTATCAGACCATCATGATACGCCACGAGAACATCTTGGGCTTCATCGCAGCTGACAACAAAGGTCCCCTGTCGCTCGCGTCTCAATGAGTTTTTGTAAAGAGGATGATGGATGATTTGGAAACCAAATCCATACCTGAACGACACTTCCGTTCATCGACAATCAAAAAAAAAAAAAAAAAAATCACTGTTTTGCTTCTTATTTTGTGTTTTGTGATTGATTTGTTTTTTTCCCCCTCCACTCACTTTACATTAATGGTTGACTTTCGTAACCCCCTCATTCATTATTAATAGTGACTTGTAAAAAAAAAAGTTTTTAACATTTGGATACTTGAGCAAACGCAAATGAAGAGTGAAGGTTCCACCGTATTTCCCAGCAAGACAACTGAATACTGTCTGTCGTGGTGTAGACAATGGCACATGGACTCAGCTGTGGTTGGTGTCAGACTACCACGAGTACGGCTCCCTGTTCGACTACCTGAACCACTACTCCGTCACGGCTGAAGGGATGATCAAGCTGGCCCTGAGTGCTGCCAGCGGCCTGGCACATCTGCACATGGAGATACTCGGAACGCAAGGTGCGCCCCCCTCGAAGATAAAATGCACTTTTCGGAGAACATTTGCAGTTTGACGAGTTCATGTACCAACTTTGTAGGCAAGCCGGGCATTGCCCACCGTGACCTGAAGTCTAAGAACATCCTTGTGAAGAAAAACGGCACCTGTGCCATCGCTGATCTGGGTTTAGCCGTCCGTCACGATTCTGTCACAGACACCATCGACATCGCTCCAAACCAAAGAGTGGGAACCAAGAGGTGGGTCAGCCAGAGAAAAATGATTCCTGGCTATTGGTAAAAATCTGTTTTTTGTCCTCACAGGTACATGGCTCCAGAGGTTCTGGACGAGACAATCAACATGAGGCACTTTGACTCGTTCAAATGTGCTGACATCTACGCTTTGGGGCTGGTCTACTGGGAGATTGTGCGCCGCTGTAATAGTGGAGGTCAGACAAGATGTATTTTCACTCGAGCTCTGTGCTAACAGTGTCTCTTACAACTTTTGTGGTGTCCTGTGCTTGCAGGTATCCATGAAGAATATCAGTTGCCCTACTACGACCTGGTGCCCTCTGACCCTTCACTGGAAGACATGAAAAAGGTGGTGTGTGACCAAAAGACACGACCCATCATCTCAAACTGGTGGCAGAGCCATGAGGTAATGACATGCGCTCTTCCGGAACGTTTGGCTTCTGAAATTTGATGACAGCTATGTTATACCCTTATTTTGAGTTTTTGACAGGTAAAAAAAAAAAAAACAAATTCTGTCGCCAAACTGGTTTTCATTTTTATGCTAAGATAAAGAGAACACTGTTCTCTTTATCTGCTGAATGTAGATCCTAAAAGTGACTTGTAAACTAATTTACGGTAGTTAATTTTAAGATCAAGCAATCGGTTAAGAAACTCCATTGCTTTTAAAATCAAGTAATCAGTAAAGTAACTAAGTTACTTTTTCAAGGTACCTGTTGCAACACTCTTTTCCCCATATACTATTGTCAATATTGACAGTTTTCCTTTTTTTTGTATGTAATCGTAAACTCCCCCTTTCACGTTCTGGTGGAATTTGAATACATACTGTAGTATATCATAGGAGGCAAAGTTTTCTCCAAACTGACTTAAATCTGCTTTTCCTTCTGTTCCAGGCTTTGCGGGTTATGGGCAAAATAATGAGAGAGTGTTGGTACGCCAATGGTGCTGCCCGCTTGACCGCCCTGCGCATCAAAAAGAGCTTGTCCCAGCTTTCTGTTAAAGAGGACATTAAAGTTTGATCTGAAAGTAGCCAAACACTTGGAAAGAGCTCCGGGAAGTGTCACATCCTTAAATTAGCCTTCCTCAGACGCACTGAGAATACGTGACACTTTAACAATGACTGCAAAGTCGGTAGCTTTGCGAGTTTTTTTTTTCTTTAAGGCACTGATGAACCCTACCTCGCCTTCCCAGAAACTTGTCTGGTTCCCCTTCTTCACACCATGACAAGTATCCCTGGACTTTCCCTGCACTCTGAAGCAATCGATGACAGTGACTGGATTACATTTTTTTTGAAAGAGTCAAAATGAAAGGTGATGGGGAGTTTCACAGCATTCCTCAGAGGCAAAACACTTATCTGGTTCCATTATAACAGCGATGGTTACCGGTAGGTGCAAATGGAAGCAGACAACTTCCTTCAGGTATTCAAGTTAGTAATGAACTTGATGTAGTGTCTACACTGCCCACAGCATCACACAGCGTTGTGTTGCCATCGTGGTTCATGTTTAGACATATTAGTCAACATGCACACAAATGCAAGGATTGTTTTGTTTTAAATGTAATCTCAGCTTTTCATAGGATACTACTGGTTCTCGTATGTTGACTCTATCGTATCGAATTTCACGGGTAACTTTTTTTTTTTTTTTTGGTACAAAATCCCCCAAGCCAAATACTTAAAAAAAAAAACCACTCACACAAATTACCCGCACAAATTTTTACAGTTCCTCTTTGTCTTTTGAATTGTACGGTGGCTTGGCTTGATCAAATGTCATTGCAGCCACTAAAATGGCCCACAGGTCCCCCACCCTGGTACAGCCTTGTCAACCTTGATGCTTTTTATTTTGGGGGGGTGAACACATTTATGTGGAATGCTACTTTCAAGACTACAATTCTCAGAAACATGTTTTTGTTTCAGGAACAGATGCACTTGTACTGTAACGATTTAATTTATATTTGCCTGGTTATTGAACAACTCCAAAAAGGCCTTGTGAGTTACTACTGACTTCGCTGCATGGCTCACAAATTGTCTGTTTCTTGAACACACATTATGGTCACGGGTGTGAGAAGAAATGCTGAAACTGATCAATGTACACAAACTGCCAATGTATTTGTTTTTGTCACATGCACTGTAAAAGCCTGTCAAGTTATGCATTTGGACCTTAAAGGCAATAATGAAAGTCAAGGTGTTTTGTCCACTTGTACTTGCCTTATATTCAATGTAAATACAATGAGCTTTTCCCCCTCGAGACCTCCCACGTGAGTCAGAATAACAGTTCGATGTAGTTGTGATGCATGCGTTTCCTCGCCCCAAAGAACCTCATAACATGAACATAGCGCGTACAAACTCTCAAAAGAACATTTATTGCTCTCCACAATTGACTGCAGTTTGATCCGAAAACCGCATTGCCATACAACTTCAAATCAGAAAGCGTGACTCATTCTTTGCTTATCCCCAGAAGGAAGAGAAAAGCTATACATCAAATGCAACATAAATAAATGCAGAAACAGTTTTTGTTTCAAATGACAAATCCCAATGAAATAATGGCTAACTTTGACCATCTCTATTTAAACGTTGGACCCCTTTCCAAAAAGCCATTTCACAGCACCGTCAATGGTAATACAAATCCCTTTTAATATAGTATGTGTAAGAAAACAAGTAATTGATGTGGTTTTGGAATCTAGACGTAAATTCTTTTAAAAACTGTGATACACAACAACCACCAAACTGTCATCATCGTCTTTCGTGAGTCTATGGATGTACAGTTAGTAGTTAAGTTGGTAAGTTGGTAGGTTCTTCATTTGCTACGAAACAATTCAATTCATACTTACTACATAAAACCTCAACTTTCGGGTGATGACGCACTCAGTACAACAGGATGTCTTTAGTATATTTGTATGACAAAGAGTGGGCGTCAACCTCGATGAGAAATAAAATAGCTCAGTGTATAACTTGCACATCAACAGAGATAGTTTGATGTCCCTGGATGGGTTGATTGCCTCACCACAAAGGAGAAGAAATCTTACTCATGCACAAATTGGTTTTCCTTTAGCTGGTAGAGGACTATTATTCAATATTAAAATGAGCATTCTGGCGCTGTCATTGCTCCCTTGGTGTTGTCAAATTTGGCTCGGGTGGCGGGAACTGCGTCGCTCGCTGTGCTACCAACAACGTTGTTACTGCTCACCTCGTAAAACGTGGTGAACTGCAAAGTATTTATGCACAGATGAAGGAATGTGAACAGGAAAGACGGGATGACGATCATTCATTTGGCTGTCAAAATCTCCTAACCCCTCCCCCACATTCCCTCACGTCACTTCCTTCTCCCTTTGCTCCGACCTCGCTTCTCTTTCGCCTCATGCGGTGCCTAAGGGCAAAAAAAAATCAAACCATTACTTTGAGCCACTGTGCGATGAAACCACTTGGCTTACCCTCATCTCTATCGGTGAGCACGAGTGCCTGGAGGATATCCGAGAGTGAGACGATGCCCTTCACCACATCCCGCTCGTCCACAACCACCAACCTGTGCACCTGGTTGACACACAAACGCAGAAACATCAGTGGGAAAAAAAAAAAATTGGATCACGTTCTGCCGTGACAACACAGATTTATTTCTTTATTTGTCAAATGCATGGCCGTCGCCGAAATCCTCCGCTGACTTCACCTCAGCCTCCACCAGTCTGTTGATGATGGCTTCCAGCGTCTCGTGGCGATTGCAGGTCAGCACCCCTTCGAAGTACTGAGAGCGGTGCTGCAAGGCTTTGGTCACGGTCAAGTCGAGGTTGTTGTAAGTCTTCTCTGCTGCCAGGTTCTGAAGGGAGCACAATTTTATTGTCGCTACTTTAAGGTGACTCATGACAACACTGATGTCACATGAACGGGAAGCCGTATGTCTTATGAGTTAGTTAAATATTACAACGTTACAGTGTTATGGGGCATAATGGAAGACAAGTGCATGATGTGGATTTGGTCATATCCATAAGCCTCAACTAATATATTAAAAAGGTTCTTTCCACAAGAATAACAAATCCCTAATCCCTCAGTTGACCTCATGAATGAAGGAATCTCAACAATGTTTTATAATTCTTAAAAGTATTAAGAGCATTTTGCGTCTGCGCCGTACAAAAGTAGACCGAAGTGCTGATTAATTTGGGGCGGATTAACATTGTTTGGGTGAACGCGGAATTGTTGTACACTGTTACGAAATGCATGAAAAAGAAAATATGTTTGTTACACCATCAAATGTTAACACAATCCTTTTGAGATTGGGGGATGTTCATCATTCATGGATTTTCGCAATTAATGGCATGGGGTTGGTTCCTCGCCACCGCAAGACTAGCACCTGAACACGGAAATGAGTATAGCTCATCAATATTGGACTCCTGTAAACTTACAATGACATCAAATTTGGAGTAAATGTCCACCACTCGACCTGCACAAGAGAGAAGGATTTATTCCAAAATGTGCACAAGATAGACAATTATGGTACACCTGCAGAAAATGTTTGTTGAAGATTAAATGTGAAAGAATCGTAGGTGGAATACAACTGAACAGTATTAAACAGATGCACACTCCTGGATTAAAAAAAAAAGTCTTCCAACACATTGATTATGCTAAACGTAAATGTTTGGGAGTGGAGTCGGCCATATTTTGCCCACCCCTGATTTATAGTACAGACTACTATGTTAATGAGAGCAAAATACAGTTGCTAAGTGTCGAAGTGCTGCTTGGCAGTGCAAGCCCTTGGACATTCAACAATGTTTTTTATATCAAGCAGCCCACCAACCTTTGTCATCCACCACGGGGAGCGCAGACACACGCTGCTCTACAAAAATACCCAGCGCCGTGTACAGAGGGGTATCTGTGCGCACCACTGCGATGTTCTGGAATGTCCCAATGTTCAGCTCCTCCAAAGTTTGACCCAGGAACGTCGGTTTTGGCATCTCCGATATCTGAAAACAAGAACAGATTACCATTCGCACGTAGGTACGATTGCACGAGCGCTCATCGGACATGGAGAATAGAACGGTCAACGGCAGATCATTTCAAAGCGGAACCTCCAAAGTCGAACACGAGCTGCTTGTTGACTTTCAAGTTCAATCTCGATTTCAAACTCATACTCCCGAGTGCCAATGTTTTTTTGACTTTTGAGGCATATCTCTCTACACAATGTTGGAATTGTACAACGTTTGGGGATGTTCCACAGTGGAGGTTCTGTATTTAATATGGCACAGGGGAACGTCAAATGGACGTACAAAGAGCTTCAAGAACTTGAGAATCCGCTTGTGTGTCAGGATGTAGAGAGTGTTTCCCGTCAGGGGATCGATGACTGGCAGTCTGTGGATCTTGTTCTTGAGCAACGAAGATACGGCGTCATACAAGCTGCAACAAAATAGGAAGGTAGGAGCATTGTTTGGAAACGGTAAGGCCCCGTAAAGTGAAAATGAATGTAAGAAAATTGGGTTGTGTGGGCCTGGCTCGCTCGTGAACTGCACGTCACAAATGTGGCAGATACAGTGTATGCTACAAAAGCGCTCAGGTGCTTAACAACAGAAGAAGAGCGACTCATGGCGTGGCCCAAGTGCATCACCGGGCCCTGTTTTTGACATGTCCAAAACATTTGGAAAAGTGAAAATGTAAAAAACAATTGAGCGCTCTGTCTCCACAATTGAGCACTACATCGTTTTCAATCTTTGCAATTTTCAGCAATTATCTACAATGGGTTTAGAAACGCTTAACACACGTTACAGGGTCTTTAAAAGGCTAGATTCAATTAAAAAAAAGGTTAAAAACAAACCTGGCATTGGGGGATATGCTAACCAAGGGCTTGAAAGAGTCTTGAAGATACAGCTCTGTTAAAATAAAAGCGCAAATAAACCAGAGACAATTAACTGACTGAAATGACAAATAATTAAAATACTGTAAGAGGGTAGTCAGAACTCACACCTCTCCATGTTTCTATTTTGTGCTCTTCCAACTCATAAATCTGCACCTGAAAATCAAAAACACAGAATTCTAATATCAAGCATCAGTTCTCCCACTACAACACCACATCTGGATACGTGCGGTCTTACCAGAGGAGATTTATAGTAGCGATGAAGGATGTTAATGAAGTCTGTGATGGTTAGCATGCCTGTAGACAGCATCAGCATCTCGTTTTTTTTTTGGTTGTTGTTTTGTTTTGAACAAACTGAAAGTATGTGAGATAGTTATATGGGAAATAATCTTACCAACAAAGCACTGTTTGTTACTGTCCCATAGGGGAGCTGCCCTCACCCCATTGGAAACAAGGGCAAAAAATGCCTTCTTGACCTGTGGAATTAAATCGACAATTTTTTTTTTTACCCCACAAAGTTCTTCTTTAGTTGGTAACATGATTTTTTAAAATAGCCCAAGGATCAGAAACAACAGCACCACACATGATGTTGTCCCCGCCACGAGTGGAGGCACCACTTCAACTGAATTACAAAAAAAAAAAAAAAAGCCCCCATCAACAATAACGTTTCACATTTGAGGATGAGGAAGCTCACTCTGATGACACCATGAGCTCCTGATTCCCAAAATATTTCTCCTTTCAGATATGCCTCTACTTCAGTTCTTAATGAGGACAGACTTGACGAAGAGAATAAAAAGATGATATCCGACCTGGAGGGATGTGTCGAAAACCACCAATTTGGAGCTGGTGGGTACGAGATCATAACAGCGATGGGACTTCATGAACCTGGTGTACACGTTATGCTCAGGATCTGAAGGGAAGAGCGAGACACGGGGTGAGAAGCCTTTTAAATTTCATCATTATGTCGTTTAGTTTCCTACCCTCAATCAGTGGATCCTTTTTGCTGTCAAGATCTTCAAGAGTTGCCGGAATCTGAAAGAAACAAACTTGTCAAAGCAAACTTTAACCATCAGCCTAATCATAAATAGGCTTAATAAACAGATCATTTAAAAATGTTACTTGTGACTCAAATGTCTGTATTTTGAACTGTGGCCCTGAGCAACCTCCATTCCAATGAACTGGACGGACTAACTATTAAATGTCAATGAGTTACATATTGCGCGTTTGCTGTATTGACACTCACTCATTCGCTGGAAATCTCTGCTCCAGTTTACCAAAAATAGCTCTCAATCATGTGCACCCAAACATCTCCTTTAAAGTCATACTTCAGCATTGCCGGATTAAAACATGTTGATGCAGGTATTTGAGCATTTTAAAAATCAATTTCAGTCTACGGTCTTTGAGTAATTTCACAAAGCTACTTATCATTTCTTTCCTATGCTTTTAAATGCCTTTAATTTTTGGGGGCTACAAATATGCTTCAATGTTGTCAATATATGTTCTTTTTGTAATTTTAATAAGCTACTTTGAGTTGCCCTGTGTCTGAAATGTGCTCTATAAATAACGTTACCTTACAGGCCACATAATAGCTGGTCGCCAGGAATTGTAACTATGCTAAATCAGTTATACATAACTTAGTTTTAAGTTCAATGTTTGGATCACACTGGGTACAGCCTACAAGCAAAATAGAAACCAAACTGCTTGTCTTGTGTAAACAGCAACAGAGTTATTGACATTTGAAATACAGCGACAGCTTCAATCTGCTTGGTGGGAAAGTGAAATGTTGACAGATTCTTGTCTTCACTCTTCTTTTTAGGAAAAAAAAAAGCACGTAGACAAGCATATTTGCATCTGTTTGAACAGTGTGGATTATTATGTTGTAAAAAAAATAATTATGGCATTTGGTTCAGTTTTGGATACATCTAAAGCACAGGAGAGGCTCTGCAAGGTTTTATGCTGGCCCCAAATTGAGCTGCAATGTGCTTGTTCACCGAGTGGGTTTGTGGTTAGAGCGCAAGGCAGTTGTGGGAAGCCTAATAATTAACCGATCACAATACATAATTTCCTTTGGCATTGGAAATTACAAAATAACAATAAACCTGTGCATCCACCTGTTCCTAGCCATAGAACAACAGAATAATAGGTCTGTGTGAGGGGGCCACATTTCATACGCAGTCATTACTGAGTAAAATGAGACGAGATCATCTGTATCTCATTAGACTTTATATTTTTTCCAATGTAGAATGTGAACCTGAGCTCGATAAAGATTGGGAAACCCTGGTTTAATCAAATTTTTAGATGCAGTATCGAAAAATGCATCGAGGCCGATTAAATGAACGTTGTGTCTTTACAGATGCATCACTTTGAAAAAACAACAATGTTGACCGACTGGGAGAATGACACTCGTTGCTTTACTGAGTCCTGCTTCGAACTCCAAGCTAATGACGTTAGCATTGACCAGTCAAAGCTTGCTGAGAATACATCACCCTTACAAGGAGAGACGATTTCTTTCGTCCAACAAAACTAAAGGGACATTTGGGTCACCCGCTAAACTCACCAATTTCAGCAACAATATGCAACAGACACGTGACAATAATGTCACATATATCGACCTACCTACTTCGCAATGTAATTCCAAATAGTTAGCATCATTGCTACAGTTAGCATGTGTCAGATAAGGACGGACAAAGTGTTAAAGAGTTATACTGGAAAATATAAAAGTTTACCGGTGGACTTACACACTCCATATTCCATTCACGGTGTCACGTCTTCTCAGCCTGCCAGATCGGGTGACAAACAGCCAAGTGGTCGCTAATTCGGCGCATCGGCTAGAAGTCAAACCAGAGCATCCTGAATGGCTGACTGGTCGTTACCGTAATACTGGTAGAGTCAGCGCAGTGAAAATATGTACTCGAAAGGGGTTGAGCCAGAGGTACTGTAATAATAATAATAATTATTAATATATATATATATATATATATATATAGTGTGTGTACATACATATACATCTTTGTGTACTTTTTCAAAGGCTTTATTGGTGATACCACCTGAGAGTGCCGTTGTATTACAAAATGGTTAACTTCAGACAGTATCTGTATGTTTTATGATCATTTCTAAATGGAAATAGCTTTTCATTTTAGCTTGGAGGTGTAACACAACAGAAGGTATCAGTTTCATTTTTACGTTTATCTTGGGAATAATATGTTTTTTCTTCATTGCGTGTGGCCAACTAAATAAAAATGAGATACAAAAAACACTATCACGAATGAGTAACAGATTTTATATACAAACTGTTTACAGCAAGATTTTTATATGAACGCTGACCATCATGGGCATATTGGCGTCCATGTTGTGCACAACATCACCACCACGATCAACACCCATGAGATCAAGTTAACAGACGGAAGAAGAAACCCTGTAAGAGCACCTTTGGTCATGAAGGAAACCAGATGTGGGAGTTTCAAAGATGTATAAGGCACAAGACACAGCATGACCAGCCTCTGTCCATCGTAAAACTACTTACTCGGCAAAGCACTTGATAAAAAAAAACAAAAACAAGATATTACAAACTATATGAGGGAAAAAGATGAATATGTCAAGCGATTATAGTCCACAGACAAGTGTACTTTAAGGCAACAAGAGCCAAGAAAAACAAAATGCAAAATTGCATCTCAAGTGTTTTGACAGTGATTGTTAAATCCAGAGTTTAGATTCAATCACGTGCACGAGATCACGACTTCATGAACCTTGAAATCATGACAAATTCATTGACAACAAATGGCAACCCACCCCATTCTTTTCATTGTATTTTACAAAAACGTCAAAATGACGTGATAAATTACTGCGTTGGACTGCTCTAAAGTGGTGGAGGACACAAAGCTGGCATCACTCAAAAAAAAACAAAACAAAACAGAACCTCTTCTATTATTGATTAAAAGCCATATGTGGCAAAAATCAAAGCGATTTTTCCAACCTATACCAAGTTCATCTGGGGGTTCCATAACAGCTAAGTGGTGATAGAAAAGTTAAAACTATAGAAATGAGGGCAGCGGACTAATCTGCTCAGCAGAAAAGCTCACAGGTGAGTGGCTGGTATGTATAAATAGCTAGAAAGGAAACCGATAAACATTACAATGGAAAGAAGCATGGAAAGAGTGTTTTGTGAAAGCTCATAATAGAGCATCCAAGGCAGTCCCACCACTGTGATGTAATCAACCACCACATTTACAGTAATGTGAACTGAGGCTGCACCGCTGTCAAGCGCTCACCACCACAATACACCAACCACTCAAATATTACACAAACCAATGTTGTCTCAACATCAGGCATTCAGAAATAATTACCATTATCAATATATATCAATAACAAGGGAATTTCGGATGCAGTCCATGAAGATCTGCGTTTTCTGGGCTAAAATTATATCCATCCAAGAATTAAACTATTTATAGCAAATGTCCAATGAAGGTGCTTCTCTGCCTGAGCTTCTTTTAGTGGAATAGTTTAATATGAATTGAAACTGGCAGCACTGCCGGGTCTTGTTGTTGGCGAGGTCTTCAGAGTGGTATGCTGGTGGAGCTGTGCCTCTCCTGTCTTCAGCAAGTGACTTTTACCATATCCTCAATGCACTCTTACATCATGGCACATTTCTTCTCCTCCGGCGGGGCATTCCCGTCGGCTTTCTCCATCTCCAATATGATTCGCTTGAAAACCTCCACGGCGGTCTGTAAGGCAGGAAGAAGTATGAGGACAGCGCCAACAGAGACCTGCAAAAAAAAAAAAAAAAAAGAAAAAAAGATGCGTGGAATGACCTCATTCTCCTTGGCTGAAGACTCCATGAAAGCAGCACCCCAGGAATCAGCAAGCTTCTTTCCCTCCTCTGGCTTTATGACCCTGAGAAACAAGACATTGAAAACACCGGTTATGAAATTACAATGGCACACAGTTGAGTACCAGAACTCCACCGAGGCCAAATTTAAAAAAAAAAAAAAAAGAAAGAAACCAGTGAGTGGTAGTTAGGAGTGTAGCAAAGACAATATAGCACAAAGCATCCATCCCTGTGTTTTAATGGTCCGAGTGTCAAAAACCCTGGCAATACAAATGTCATGTTTGATGAGATCATGAACAAAGAAAGTGCAGATTGACAGGATCTCATAAGTAAAAGGTGAAATTGTGGAAACTTTGTTTTTGACCTTAAGACACGTCACTATAAGCTGAGAGGGAGAAAACAACTCACAAAAAGTCAGTTTGTCCTGTTGGGCTATTATTGCCAGAATGCAAAAGTTTATGATTTTGGTGTTTTCATCAGAGAGTAACAATAAGACAAACATTCCTGATATAAACATGTGAATTAAGACGAACAATTAATTAGCCCCTTTTTCTTTTTGTTTACTCGTTTGAAAGCACCGCATCATCTGTTCTCCCAGAACTTTCTTCCGTGGATTTCTCTTCTAAGGACATACCCATTTGCTGCATTTGCAAAGTTGCTCTGAGTGAAACAATTTGATTGGCTGAGTTTGATCTGCGCATTTCCTGTGTACAAATATTTATTTCTCTAGAGATCAGAAAAGGCAATTGTAACCGCACAAAAGATACATTGGTTAAATTACAGAAATTCATACAAATATAGTAATAGTAGTAGGTCTGGCGACTGGACTGGACTTAATGTATATATGTACTGATTATTACAGGATAAGTCCACTGAAACATTTTTCGAACAAGGACAAATAAATATTGTGCTTACCTTTCCATGTGGAGATCTTTTTTGTTTCCAACAAGCACAGTTGGAACTCTAAATAGAAAACAATCATGGTGAAATATTAATAAAAACTATGTGGTGGGACCATTTTGATAGTATTGAACTTAAAAAGAGTTGAGATAACTTACTGAATTTTTCCAACCATATCCAGCAGCTTGTCGTGTAGAACCTGAACGACCTCAAAACTGATCAGAGAATAGAAACGGCTTATTGATCGCATCGTGATTGGCTCAAAGATACAAAGCCTGATCTTAATATGTCATCCCGTTTTTAACTTGAGATGAGAAATGAACACAGATGATAAAAACATGTTTCAAACTAAGTGTTTTTTACTGATATGCTAGAAATTCACAATGATCCAACTACATACCTTTTCATGGATGTCACAGAATAAACAAGGACATAGCCGTGGATGTCCATTGAGTGGGAGTGGGGGAAAATGGAGTATTCATCCTACAAATGATACCATGCCATATAACATATTAGTCTCAAGCACAGGACACAATATAGGCAATTCGTCATTGATTTTCATAAGTTTACAATCATCAAAACTTAAATATTGCTGCAGGATAAATCTATATGTCAATATGGCGCTAAACAACTTACTTGTCCAGCTGTGTCAACCAGCTGAAGATGGAAGTCTTGACAATTCACGCTGACCATTTTATTGAAGGCTGGGAAAGGGAAGTAACAGTTATATGTAGAAGTATTTCTAAATCACTACCAAATTTCTTCATACAGTGGCCTCCACATGTGTCGATGTTGTGCCTTGATTAATTAATGTTACGTCATACACTGGAATCAAAACAACCCCGCCCTGCTCAATAAAGTTTGGGAAACCCCTTGCCACTCGATGAGGAAATTTGGTCATTTTAACCTATATAAGAGTTCTCCACTGCATGGTAAAACTTACTGTTTTCAATTGTTGGGTCATAGGAGTCGACAAACTGTCCTTCCACAAACTGTATTGTGAGAGATGACTTTCCTGCAGAAGGAAAATGGACACGCAATTGTCATTTGTGCTGTAATAATAACAGTGTATAACAGCCTTTTCCACAAAAACTAACACAAATCCATGTTATTGTCTTTAAGGAATTGTCACGTCATTTTCAAGTTGACAGGAAGTGGCAAAATGTGGCCCTCTGAAATGGATAAAAACAGGTAAATTTTCTGTGTGCGCCTACAGCCGCTCCGACCATCCACCAAACATTCAGCCATACACCAGTGTGAGTGGCACTTAAGGCAAGGTGTCTTGCCCAAGGACACAGCAACACATGGCTTGGACAGAGCAGGGAATTGAACAGTGGACCTTCCAGTTACTGGATGACCCGCTCTACCTCTGAGGCATGGCTGGATATACTGATAGTGCAGTGTTCGAAAGGCAACACATATAAATACAAAACACATGTTCGAAGAAACTATGAAGCTGTTATGCACTTTTGTCTTAACTGTTATGGAACAAATCTATTTCAGAGGGGCATCACCATTAGCTTGGTCAATGGGTGCGATGAACAAAGCTGTGTCAAAATGCATAATTGTTTGACCCCCCCCCCCCAATACAAGTTTAAGAAATCTTGCTCTTCACTTATCATTTGCATTAGACTGCCATAAATTTTGTGTATTGATCGCTTCGTTGTCTTAACTATTCTGGCCTAAAACATGAAATAACCAATAACTTAAAAAAATGGACCTCAAACATGGCTGTGGAGACACTTACATATGTAATGCCAAGGCAGCATTAAAAATGCACTATTAGAAAAAAACGTGTCTTTATATCGTTATTAATCATATGACAAAAAAAAATGACCCATTTACTTTGTGACAAGCTATGTTTCGGAAATATTGTGTTTCCCACAGCCTAATAGGAATGCCACGGAACCTTTACCGCACTCAGGGTGCGGCTCCAGCCGAAAGTACACTTATTAGTTTTCTGAGTCGGAAAAGCACAAGTGTAATGAAAGCAAAGCAGAACGCGTGTTGCTGAGGTCAGCCTGACACAAGGAAAACAAAGCCGGGACTTTAGCCAGCTAGCTGGCTAGCTAGCCAGCTAGCACAGCACGAGCTCGGGAGCTTTACTCACCAACAGATCTGTAACCGATCACAGCAATCTTCCGGTACTTCGGCTGCGGCATTGCGGCGGAGACGGCGTCGATTACCTTTCAAATGCGTAGCAGGCAAAGCTATTTTGACGCTCTAGATTAACTTTTATCGCCACATTCGGCTCACGTCACGTGACAACAACAAACTTTTTGGGAGCTCTCTGCTGGGCCTTTACCAGCTCGAAGCAGTTTCACCACAGGAAGTACACCGTGTACTTTTGAAGGGGAGAAACGCTTGCGCTCAATCCAGTACAGTTTGTGATATCGATCGATAAATCGAAATCTGAAAACGATCTCCCGAACTTGAACAGTTTACGGGATACTTTATCCCCAACGCGGTTACAACTCGCAGGCGATAGTAACGGAAAGTGTCATTGTGTAAGCACACCGTCGTAAAAAGCAGGTCTTACGTCACACATTCTGCAAAGCTACTATACGGCAGCGGGGGTCGCTCTGAGCCCTGCAACCCACTGACACTGGTGTTGTTTAGACCGCTTTCAGCTCGACCTTTCCAGACAAGACAAATACTAGAACAAAATGTCAGAGGTGACAAAAGTACCCACGCGCTTTCACACGGTTCATTTTCCATGCATGCACTGTATGTTCTGGGATTCAATTTGACAAGCCATCCTTGTAGTGCGTATTTAAAATACAACCATTTGATTTCGATTCGTTTTCACAAGAGCTGCAGCTGCAACAAACCGCTTCACAGAACATTTAACACGAATTAACAAAAATGGTCCAACAGAACACAACACATAACATGGACACAATGGTAACAACAATTACTAAATACGCCTTGTTGTTTGAAGCATATCAAACTGAACTATCGTTCCTTTCAAATTGTTTTAATGGTCAATAACAGATGGAGGCTTGATCCTAAATCAATGTTTTACAAGAAGGAAAAGTGTATTTTTATTTACTCCATTGCAGATACAGGTCTTGTTTTTGCAGCAGCAACTCTTTCACCCCTGCATGACTTCTGTTCCGTATATATTTACTATACGTCATGCTGATGCTTACTCTTACACTATTTTGAGATTTCCCATGACAATTCCAAGACCAACAGGTGCCCATTTTCGTGGGAACCTGTGCAAATGTCACGGACAGGTCTGTTGACTGTTTCAACCTACCCCCGCAAACACCGTCTCCATGTCCTATAAAAATACGCATTGGCTACTGCATATGTGACTTGGACTATTTGCAACAGACTATTCTTGATTTTTGGGTCTGTTTCAAACTCCACAGTGACCACTGTCACAGTTGCCTGAAGAAATACTTTTTTTTTCTTAGTTTGAATTTTTCACTATTACCACCTGTTTACCATTTTCCTTGATTTTACACAAAGTTTGTAGCACCTGTATGAAGAATTTTTGTATATTTTCACGTGTATTTGAGGTCCCTTTAGCAAAGGTATTCAAATGTCTGCATGGAAGAATAACATTTAGGGTATTTGCATCGGTGTCAAATGTCAAAATGGATGAAAATTGACCTGAATAGTCGAGGTTCAGAGAGTAATGGTTAAAAAAAAGATAGCCTTAGTTCGACTTTAACGCTATTAAAATTTGTCCTTTGTGGCCAAAATTAAAATATATTACATAGCTAGTTAATCAAAAACCAGGCAGAGCTTTTAGTCCCATTACATACTGTATAATATGTTTTAATTTTGAGACACTAACGTTATGGACAGTTTGAACAGAACTGCGCTTAAATACTGGAGAAGAAAAAAACTACTTCAAATTATTACATCAAAATGCGTTGCACATAAGTTACATGAAATATGCATTTCAATGTTTAAAAACAATCACTTCTTTAAGTTTCAATGCAAACGTAAACAGAACTGTATTGGACGATGCTTGAAAGCTTAAAAACAAATGTACTGCTTAAAGCAGGCATGTCGAGCCACTGTCCTGCCTGTATTCCATCTCTCGCGGCTGCAACACACCTGATTCAAATGATCAGCTCATCAGCCAGCTCGGAAGTAACATTAGAACGATCCTGAGTATTTGAATCAGGTGTGTTGCTCCTGGGAAAGCTGGAAAACAGACAGGATAGCGATAGCAGCCCTTGAGGACCGAGTTCGCAAACCCTTGGTTTAAAGACTGTCTGCATAACGACAAGCTATATTGATTGTATTGTATAACTTAATACAAGTGATGAGGTTTGTGTGGATATAATTATCAAAATTTATGGCGCACTCGAAATTGTGACCGGAAGTAGTTTGGCGTGTAAGGTAGTGCTGCCGGCTGGGGGATGTCATCGTCGTAAACCCAAACAAGCAGATGCAATCACCGAATAACCTCAATCGTCGCCCTCGCCAGGCATTGGTAATTTACCACACATATACGGGGAGTGGACTCATTTAATTGTCGGTCGTCGTTATTTGAATCAAGGAGAGCATGTTCTGTAGTTAGTCCGTACCTGGCTCCTCATAGCATTCGGCGAGGCTGCGGGTGCCATAGCAACCATTTCGGAAACACTGGCTGCAGTAGTTAGCATCTAGCGGGCTAAATGTAGCATTTGTCAGTCTGAGAACTTATCACGCATGTCACTCATTCACATTGCATCGTTCGGTACCGAACTTTGATACCGCGATATTCAGTGAGCGAGCGTAACAAATACCGACGTCGTAGTGCTGGTTTTAGCTGCTTTGGCTTCACATTTGCGCCAATCAAGTTTCGCTTAGCTTGAGCTGCCCAGGCCGACTGGTGATTTAGCTGTTAAATTACGGAGACGCATATGAATTCTTCAACGTGTAGAATGTGAACTGAAGACTAATTGATGGCACACGAGTATTCGATGATTCTGTCAGTGGTGTCATGAGAGTTGCGAGTCAGTCGATCAGCTGATCTGTAGCCGCTAATGTTCGAGTTAGCTCTCGTGTAGCTACTAGTACTGCTGCAGCAATCGTACGATTAATTCCACTTTAATAACGGATGCCATCCTCAACATATTTGTATTCTGTTTAAATGTCTGAAAGCTAATTCAACAGTTCGGTGTCATGGGTTGACTCACTGCGATTTTCTCCAGTTCTGTAGATGGAACAAGTGTAACATCATCAGCACACGTTTGGTTTTGTAATGACAAGTTGGTGTGGACATAACTCTCATTTCAGTATTGGGCCGAAATCTAGTATGGATGTTGATGACTGCAATGGCCAGTCTTACATGTCAGGTCAGCTATTTGTTTATTGTGCATCAAATCAGCCCATAAGTAACAATAATGTATGTTTAATCAAGGGTTGTGTATTTGCAGTTAATAGTGGAGACTCTTCAATGGAAAAAGAGTTTTCTGGGGGCCTTGGTGGTCCGACAGTAAGCACGCCAAACAGCAAGGAAACCTCACCTCATCGCTCGCTCAGCGGTAAGTCATAAATACTGGACACTTAATCCTCCTTTTCACTGTTTAAAAAAATGGGACTCCTTTTTTTCCCTCTCTTTTAGCAAATTCTATTAAAGTCGAGTTGTACAGTGATGAAGACCCCGGTCCTAGTAACGATGATGAGCGAGTGGAACGTATAGAAGAAGGAGGCGTGGATCAGGGAACAGAGGCGTCTGGTCACAGGGAGCTTACCAATCATGACAACATTCGACTGCCCAGTGGGAAGCTGAAGTGTGACATCTGTGGCATGATCTGCATTGGACCCAATGTTCTCATGGTGCACAAACGCAGTCACACAGGTTAAAAAAATGCTTCATATGTGAAATAACATTTGTTTTGTGTGGGCAAAACTGACATGTTGTGAATGCCTAGGTATTTGAAACACATGCAATATATGACTTGCTTTGGGATTGGTAAAATTACCTTATTTTCACACTGGGTACAGCAACTACATTGGAACCTCGAACCCATTCCATTGAAGGATTCTGCTCAATCTTCTGATTAATTGTTCAGCTCTAACTATGACCTATGCATTTCTAGTTCGTAACAATTTGATCTTTGTGCAGGTGAGCGGCCATTCCAGTGTAATCAGTGTGGCGCCTCCTTCACTCAAAAAGGAAATCTGCTCCGTCACATTAAGCTGCACTCCGGAGAGAAGCCCTTTAAATGTCCTTTGTGTAGCTATGCCTGTAGAAGAAGAGATGCCCTCACCGGCCATCTTCGCACTCATGCCGGTAGGACATGTTTAGGTCTAGGTCAAGGTCATCTTTATTGTCAAATCAATCAAATAATCAAAAATAGGCCTAATAAGTCTGCCCCCCCCCCCAACTCTGAATAATGTATCTCTTGGCAAAAAGTAATGTCCTTCTTCCACTTTTTGCTCCAGTATCCTCTCCAACTGTTGGGAAGCCATACAAATGCAGTTACTGTGGTCGCAGTTACAAGCAACAGAGCACTCTGGAGGAGCACCTTGAACGCTGCTACAACTACTTACAGAGCGTGGAGTCAAAACAGCCTATCAGTGCTCAGCATCCAGGTGAGCATGGTTCATCTGAGTCACAGTAGAGCACGCTATTACAGGTGCATCTCAATAGTTACTGAGGATGCAACGATATCGGCTGTGGAGTGCTCATACTCGTACTAATGCATGAATGCCACATCACCAGCCAGACGTATTCCATATACATACTGTGGCAGCCTTTGTCATGCGTGAGGAGCTTCTTTAAGGTAAAAACGGATTGCAACACTTTTAGCTCACTGCGTATTCAACTCTGCTCTGGTGGCAACCGGGGGTACAGCATGTCCTGAGTTTCAAACCCCAGCTGACTTTGGGTGAAAGGCGGACTAACTCCCGAACTGGTCGCCAGTCAGTCACAGGGCACAAAAAGAGACAAACAACCATACACATCCACATTCACAATGTCACTGAGTGAGACACACAAGTCAGGGGAGTGTACCACTATACCATCAGCAACTGAAAAACGTGCATCGTATGTCAATATTGACAAGTTGTTACTCTACAAAAATTATTTGAGTGAGACTTGTGCCATGTTCAAGAAAAGTTTGTCTCTGAATATTTGGTTAAAACAAAACACATTTTAACTACCATTGGCAATATCAAGTATCGGTACTCGGTTTTTAGCAATTACTCAAGTATAAGTACTTGGTCTCAAAACAAGTGATAATAGTGCATCCTAAATAAATGCATTTAGCGGTACTGCACTAGCTCTCTTCAAAGTTAGAGTCAAAGTCATTACACAAGTGGGAAAACGCTTTACACAAAAGCAATTCTTCCTATTTAATTTCTATATTTAAAAATCCATTTTGATTGTTTTGTTTTTTTTTAATGTAGTATTCTGACTTCTAGAGATGGTGAATTTGGGGTTTGTGGTATAATCAAAATGATCCGCCCATCCTTCAGTTTTTCCATTTTGCCTAGTTTTCATACTTGCTTTGGTTTGAAAATCTAGCTGGACTACTTAGGATCTGTAATCAGAGCAAATGTTATATATTCTGTGTTTTTTAGGAGAGGAGATTAGGGAGATGGAGTACATCCCAGACTCCCCGCTTCATGCCTCCTCAGACAAGATGACGTTTGTTGATCGGCTCGCCAGCAGCGTCACCAAACGCAAAAGATCCATGCCACAAAAATTTGTAGGTGAGCATGTGGCCTCGGTTTGGTGAGGTTTGAGAAAATAGCCGCTTCATGTTTGTAATAACGAGAAAACAAACTTTATGAACAAGGCTCACAAGGCTGACTCAAAGCAAAAATCAGGATGTACTTTCGGTATTCGAATTAGTTTGCTGAAGTTAGTTCACGTAAGTCAAACACCCCAGAATTTTTACCACTTCACTCTTACCAAGATATTCCGGAAAAAAAACTGCTTCAAAATTAAAATTTCACACAACGTTGAGACGAAAGATTATCAGGATTGACATAAGACAATTTTGCAACACTTCTGATTCATGTTCGCTTTTTTTCCACTGTATGACCGGTGTCATCAAATGTTGAGTAGTTTTTACTTATGTAGTGTTAACATCTATTAACGTAGCAGAAAAGTTTCTTCATATTATATTGAAGGGATTTTTTTAAACTATAATTCTAAAATTAGAGCTCTCAGGAAAGTGAGGTGCATTTTTTTAAATTGTATTTATTTATTTATTTATTTATTTTTAAGGATCGCAAAAGAACTGCCATTTTGTACAGGGCTTAGTGGGTTAAAGGTTGCATTGCATTTTGGGCACATCCTGAAGTTTCACCCGAAAGCCTTTATCTGAAAAGTGGATTTTGATACAATGCTATTGTTCCACATTTCAATCTATGAGGATTTTATGTTCTAATTGCAGGACAGAAGCACATACATAGTGGAAATGCACGTTCCGAGTTAAATGCTGCTTTGGACAAAGATGGAGAGACACATCCAGGAGACTTGGAAGGCCTACGCGTTCCTAGAAGAGAGTATGCAGGCAGTGATGGAGGAGGAGGGGGAATGGCAGACCCCCTGCAGCCTCTCCATCTCCCCATCACTCACCCTTCATGCTTATCCGAACTCCGATCGATGCACAGTGCCGCTTATGCGCCGGGCGCTCTCGGCCTGAGGCTGGACTGCATGGGGGCCAGTGTAGGGCTGGGGCCCGCCAACGTGGGGAGAAGGGAAGCGGCGGAGGGTCACGAAGACCTGCCCGTGGGTCGCAGTCAGGCAGCCTCCCCCAGCAACGGTTGCCAGGACTCTACGGACACGGAAAGCATGCCGGATGAGCCGTGCAACAGCACCGCTCCTGGTCCGACCCTTCATAGGAACAACGGGCATCATCTCCACAACACGGCGACTCCTTCGCACTACAAAATTTGGGACGGACACAGCCCCGGCCACGCCAAAGACCGGGAGACCAAAAGAGAGGACGGAAGTCACCACGCGCCCCCTCCGTCGGGCCTCGTCCCAATGCCCAGTTCACCTACGGCGCCCTCGTCCACCTCAAGGGAGACTCTGCGAGTGGTAGACGGCGAAGGGCGAACGGTGCGCTGCTTCCGATGCGACCACTGCCGCGTGCTCTTCATGGACCACGTCATGTTTACCATCCACATGGGGTGCCATGGATTTCGGCAACCTTTCGAGTGTAACATCTGCGGCCACCGGAGCCAAGACCGCTACGAGTTTTCTTCGCACATCGTCCGGGGAGAGCACATCCTCGACTGAGGAACAGTCCCGATGAGCTCGGCCTGGCATGGTTTGGTCTGCACAGCACAAAGGAAACCCATTATTTATCATAATGCACTTTGAAAATGTCTCTGAACATGCACTTTTCCCATCCACACGTGTGCCTTGCGCCCAAATTCAGGATTCCCACCTAATGCACATATTGTGGTTGACCAATCCGACCTGAAAACTCTTGAGCACTTTAACAGATTCTTCATCCCCAAAAGTCAAATGTGAAGACCCTCGCCTCATTTGAAGAAACGGCCCTTAAAAACATTCACTATCATGTTTTTATGTCCTTGTTTTGAGTGCAGACCAAATGAAAGAGCCAGGTCAAAGTTCACGAGATGTTGAGAAAGTTGTCTGTGAATCATAAATGCACTTTTTGTTTCGTGTCAAGTGGTAGGGTGATTGAACTGAGTGTACGTATGTGAGATATTGTTAGTTTTCTGGAAATCGGTAGAACGTGTGAAGGCCAGTGAACAATGGAGGCCTTTACTTGGATGACTTATGAGCGTTACCTGTCTTGTTGTTTTTAATTTGTTCTATAACTGCTTCTGTTGCACTGATACTTGCCAGAAAATCCTGATCATATTAAACAGTTTTATAGACTACATTCACAAGCTGCACATTTCTCTCAAAATATGAGGAAAAACCATGACTGCCGCTCAAGTGGGAGAAGTGATAATCTTATGTCAAGAAATAATGTCAATGCAGTTACAACTTTACTATCATTGGTTTGTATTGTGCCTTCCCTCATCGTGAAATTCAGTGACTAGAGTTCAAGCTATGAACTAACAATCATGTCCTCAAACATACGAATTCATGTTGGAATGAGTTACCAAAGAATTTAAGATCTCAAGTCAGTCTAATTCGTGCATACACGGGTGGGAATTCTAAATATAGATCGATTTAGAGCAAAAACTTCCAGCTTTTTATTAACGGAAATGTAAAATATTGCAGTTTAGTCATTACATGTTCAAAGATTGGATATGGATGGCATTGTTTTTTTGGTAAAATGGATTCTGACTGTTCTTGCAACTCTCGAGCTATACTTTACAAAACATTAAGCATAAGCCAAGAAATGATGACAGAAGCAACAACTGTTAAAGAACCTGCCCGAAACCTGATCAAATTGTGTAGGCAAGACTCCCATGTCCATGTATTTTTTTTTCTGACCCTTTAACAGTTACCCCATAATGCTGAAAATTGTGTAAAGCATGAAAAGAATTAGCGCTACTTGTGATTGATTCCAATGAGAAAAGGATATTTTGTCGCTACATCGTGAGAAGTGTTTGGTGGTATTTGTCGATACAATGTTGACTAATTGTAACTGCAAGAAAAACCTTTTTTGCTCACTTGGTTTAAATCCTGAATGTGGTTATGGTGACCTTTATGGTTAAAGGTCATGTGTGGACAATTTGAAATTACCGTTATTAATTATAAGACATGATTGCGCAAGTGCAGCGGTCAAGCACAATTCTAAACGCAAGACAGATTAAGGCTCCACTATCAGTCATTTTATCATGAGTTAGCTTACCTTACATTAAAGTGATCGCTGTTGTACTGAGAAATGTATTTTGAGTATTAAAAAAAAAGGTACCCTGCTTGTGTAACTAATGGAAGAGGCCCATGAGTAGCTTATGCTGGTTTGCTTCCTGTATGTAGTACTTTTCATATTGTGCCTTCATTCTAGTGTTCTGCAACTATTCACCGTGTGCTACAACAGGCCAGCTTTGTGAAATGCTCACCACCAGCTTTCCCCTTGCTAGGACCATTTTACTTTTGATTACCAGATGCCCCTAGGATACAATGCTGCTGCTAAGATCCAAAGAAAACTCCCTGCTGACGTGAAACCTTTGCTGGCTTTAAGTGTCAAAATATCATTTTCAAAAAGAACCCATCATTACTCAAATTTTTTTATTATGAGTATTGGATATCCCCCTTTGCCTTCAGTGGGAATGGTGTAATTGTACAACCTTCAACTTAATTATGCTTCAGACCCTGATGCATGTGCGACCAATCCTGAGCTCACAAAAACACCACACATTAAATGTGATTTTTCAAACGCTGTTTTTGTAAGCCTCTCACCTCCTGTAAATAACCTGAAATCGCTTTAAATTAATGCAAACTCTTAAATGTTGACAACAGTTATGCATTTCACTACTTTGATCTTAACTACTGTAAGTTTTGTACTGTAAGGATTTACTCCAAATAAAAAGTCAACTATTCTCTTGTCTTGTGAGCAAATGAGAGTTGAGTCATACATTCAATCAACAACTTGGGAAGATTTTTATTCCTCATATGTAAAGCATGTCATTTACATGGGCTTTGCAGGAGCTCTCGGTGCACCAGCCTATAACAAAAAAACAAGACAAATAAGTTAGAAATGGTGATTACAATGTATGAGAAACATTTCTTTTTAGCAGTTCCTTACATTGGGCCTGAACCTGGGTGGCGGTGTGCGGTCTTTCCTGGCCTCACAGGAGCGGTTCCTCACCACCTTACTGTGGATGGCGCAGCTGACACAGTAGTGCAGCTTCACATAGAGCTTGGGCAGAACATATGCTACACAGAAGAGGGTGGTGGGGAAAAGTACATAAGCAGTGGAACGTGTATTGCTGTTCTTGATACGGATGAGAAATTACACTTACAATCAAAGACACTGGCCTCTGAGATGTCTCTCACGGCTGCAGCCTCCACAATGTTCCTGATGACAAATTTCTTGATGGCCTTGTCCTTGGGGACGCAGCGGGCACAGTTGGTGCAGCGGATGGGCTGCACGTGCCCACGGCCCTTCTTGGCACGACCGTTGTTCCTTCTCTTCTTGGTCTGAAATGCAAAATATAAACATTTAGATTTCTTTCGTGGTGCAACTATGGTTATTCACTACTCATAACACGATTGACTCAAAAACCATTGAACGGTTTGACCGTATATATTCACCATCTACCGTCACATCCAAATTTGCTACTGTGACATTTAACATGACTGATTTTGCATCACGAAAGCAACCTCGCTCCAAATTCAGACATAAAACTACTCCAAATTATAGATTACATTGTAATAAATAAATAAAAATTGTAAAATAATTGAGATATTTTAAAGCTTTAGACAATTCTACTTTAGTATGTCACTCAAATGTATCTCGCAAGATTTAGCTTTATCCACCGCTCGCTAAGAGAACACATGCAGGGGTATGTTAGCTTGCTAAACGCTAGCATTTAGGCCCGGGCACCTTTTTAAATGTTTTAATGTGCTTTAAACGGCAATATAACGCATCGTGGTGGGGGGTTGTGATGTTACTAACTTCGAATATATAAGGGGGAGGCGTTTTCCGATAAATACATCGGTTTATTTCGGTTTTTACCAACCGCCTACCGCTGTAGTGAACTCACCATGTTGCACGGGAAGCTGGAAAGAGGGCAGGAAGAGGTTGTACCGCGCAGAATAGTGCATTTCCGCTTTGCCTTGGGCACCAAATTATTGCTCTTAGAGTAAAAGAAATACATTTTGGGTGTCACATTTTATATAACTGACATAATATTATTTTTAAATCTATTTATTTGATTTTATGTTAAGTTTAAAATGAAATGACCAATTTATTGTCGCGGAAGGATATTACCGGTGTACGCATGCGTGTCGCTACGGGTAGTTGAATTATTCCAGTTATCAACTCGAGAAAAAATAGTGCTGTAGTCCAGCATAACCGCTTTATGAAAAGTATTATTTAGTAAATAATTCTCTTTTAATACATAATATAATAACAGCAGAGATGTCAGATTGATTTTATATTTCTGTACTGCATGGCCTTGCGTCAATTACTGTATGACAATTGAATGTACAGTATATCAACCAGACCACGAGTTTAAACAATGAAAAAGCTCTTCAATCGTACTGTATCATTTTTTTCACCTTTGAAGGATGTGATTAACATCTTAAAATCAAAACAAATAATAAAGACCAAGACAGCCACACTGGAGGGATTCATAAGAACAAAGATTTAATTTTCCCCATGTGATAATTGTTTTGCTGACACAACTCTTAAAATGTGAAGCTGAAAGGGATAGTGTAAAACACGATGTCTAAAAAAAATGCCTAATTGTATATTGTGTGCGTACAAATCATCAACCAATATGACAGATTCTTACTCAAAACATGCAATCCAAAAACACAACAATAATTCTTGGATTGAGAGATGTGCCCTTTGTAATTTGGGTGCGTTACACAGTATATTCAAACTCACGGAGGCTGAAAATCTGTCAGAGATGCAACATCTACAGGCAGTGTAAACATCAGTGTCACCGAAGCTACTTACTGAACAATCAACACCCATTAAATGGAAGAGATGTCAATTCCGGGTATAAATTTACAACAAAGGCATGTTTTACAAAATCAACACAAATAACACATTTTTAAATTTTTTTATTTAAATAGTTCATTTTCCCATTCTTATTTCTTCTTGCTCTTCTTGTCTTTGGCCTTCTTTTTGCTGGGTTTTGGGTCTTTGGCCTTGTTGTAGAGGTAGAGTCCCACTAAGCCGAGCAAAGTGGGCACCAACGCCAAACACACAAGGGGGAAAACGTCGTTCACCATCTTCTGCCAAGGCGTTTGCTGTGTCAGCGAGATCACCTCCACCTCAAACTCGAGGGAAGCGTCGCCTATAGGGCACATTGAGAGCAACATTGTTCCTAGATGCATGTTTCAAATGATGGGATTAGAGCAATCAGAGTGTGCTAACAATAAACCAAAAATGTGCCTCTGAAAAGCCTCACATAATCCCCAAACACATGAAAAACAACTTTCTTTTTACAAAACAACACATCAAGCATTGTACAGAATAACATTGACAAAAATGCATGTGTTTTGTGTTCTCTACCTGGAATCGTAGGAGGGTAACCTTTTTTCCCATAGGCAAGGTGAGATGGAATTGTGGCTTTGATTTTTTGCCTGGAGGAGAGTGGCAAAGCAACAAAATAAGTATAAACTAAGTATGTACTTTACAGAGTCCATCATTAGGGCATCTGAACATTATTAAGTTTTCAGCACAACTTTATTGCTATTTTTTTTTTTTTTTTTTTACGAACCCTTCGCACACGCCGATCAAGCTTTGTTCCAGACCTGAGAGGAAATAACAAACAAAAGGCAAAGTTACTCCCCAAAGTGAGTATATTCATTTCCTAAAAAAATGTGTTTTAATACACCCAAATCAATTAATTTAGCTCTCAACCCACCAGAAATGACAGTCCTCTTCCCCAACTCAACAACAAGAGGGTCCCGGGACAGCGAGGAGTCGATGACTTTGCCATCCATCAGTTTACCCTGGTAAGCAGAAGTACAACATTGTTACCGCTTCATGATTACTACCTCGGGGCAATTTCCTTGACAACAGTGGTGCATTTGATCGGTAATTTTTAATGACATTTTAAAAACAAATCTCAGTGGAATGTTTTAGGAAAAAAAACAAAATTTTAACCCACGGATGTTCCATAATATATAGTAGTATATAACTTTAGTATGGCCCTGACCCACGGGAAGAGCTAAAACGGCCCCTGTAGGAAAATATTTCCCCACTTCGCTGTGAACGCTGACACATGTTGTTATCAAGCTACCGTGCTGGTTACATTATTACAGAATATCATGGTGGCTCCACATGGATGGATAATTGTGGATACAGTGTCTAGAGTGGAGGCCAACAGTTACAAATACAGTACAGTGATGCTTTTGTTTTGTGACCACTCTCGTTACTAAAAACACATTTATCTAAAATCATCTTTCCCCATTGAAATGAATGGAAATGCCATTTATCCATTTCAGCCACCCCAAAACACCAACAAAATGGTGTTCGTTCATTGTTATCCTCCTTCTGGATTGCACGCTTTAGCCACTAGGGGGAGATATAATACATAGAAACATACTACAGGTCGGTTTGATGATGAAACACAAAAAAACATTTCAAATAAACTGCAGTAATGCAATTGTTTTTGTTTTTTTGGAGAGGATAAAGAATATATTTATACGAGCATGGTATGTGCTGTTTGCAGGTCTTTCTACTGTTCGTAATCAATTGTAAGATGTTTGAAGGTTTATAACTACTATATTATCGATACTAGTTTTGTCAGCTCCATATGAGATTTCCCATTTTCTGTTAGTAGTAAGATAACGGACGTTCGTAATTTAACATTATCGTTAGGCGTGAATGGCTGTCAAAATGTTAGGAAGGAAACACTGCACTGGGAAATCTCTAAACTGATTCACCAGTCTGTATAGAGAATGAATGAGAATGAATGAATGCAATCTGATGATTGATGGACATCGACATAACGTATTGTTGAATGTATTAGTGTAATGGTGCCATTAACATTAAGTGTGCGTGTCAGGTTTGTGTGTGTGTGTGTGTGTGTGTGTGTGTGTGTGTGTGTGTGTGTGTGTGTGTGTGTGTGTGCAGCAGAGCAGTCAGAGATCCAGCCTGGCAAGCTGAACGCGTGGATGAGCTGCTCTCGTGTTATTGCTGACGTGTTGCACACTAGGGCCACCACACTCTCACGCCACACAACAGCAGTCGACCGCCATCGCGTTGACGAGGCTTGGTTGACGCACCAAATACACGGTAGACAGTATATTTGGCTAGAATGGTGTTGATTATGAATCGTGTAGTGCTTTTGATTGTCTTACCGTATAGTGGATCTGCAACGTGTCTCCCATTGTGGAGAGTACGGAGCAAGTTTCGGGTTTCAGCTTGGGGCAAAATAGTTGACCGTTAGTATTGATTTTGTTCAACGCATCGTTAATGTTGCATGGAGCATAATAGCTTTCCACTCACCAAGGTCTCCACCTGTACCTCCTCGGCTGCATTTTCGTCGCCCTGCACAAGTCCCCCCGTGAATGTGAAAGCTGCAAGCAGCAGCAAAACAAAGCTGCCCTGCATTGTGAACTTCTGCGGGGTGGGGAAAAAAAGCAGACGTAAAAAAGCTATTTCCGTGGAATCCGCGAGCGAATTCGTCTGACTGGGCCCTCAGGTGAAAAGTGCCCGTGCTTCCGCTGTTGATGTGTTAAAAAGCGTGCAGAGATCAACCCCAGCTGCTCGTGGACGTTGGCCCCGCGACGCTTGGCTCAATGGGACGAGCCCGCCTCAGACCTTCCGCTAACATCACACATCTGCACATTAGCTGAGGACGCGATGCTCCTCAGGTACGCTGGGGGCGCTGTGGTGTTTGAGGCCTGCCACGTAGCCTCTCTCAACCACCGTGCTTTGCTATACATTTAACATAAATGCTTGGGTCAGTCGAGAATGAAGACGCCAGAGTGGGATAACTCCACTTTGCGTTTATTTATTTATTTGTTATATTAAGGACAGTACATAAAGAACGTTCAAATAAATATGCCAGGGCTAAAAGGAAGGCTATGTTTTTCGTATGCAGAGCTGAACAGATGGTAACTGTCACCAAAAAGAATAGCAATAAAAGACAAATAAACAACAATACTTTTGCTAAAACTGCTATTCAGCTAAAATTACATATTTCCCCAAGAATAACAATACATTTACTATAAGCTCAAATGTACTTTAGTCACAACGGTCTAACATACTAAAACATTTTCAAACAAAGATGCCAGCAGGGGGCAGCACGAGCATGTCCTTTTCTGAAAGTGGACAGTTCTGATTACCTATTAACCATTAATAAACTGCAGTAATGCAATTGTTTTTGTTTTTTTGGAGAGGATAAAGAATATATTTATACGAGCATGGTATGTGCTGTTTGCAGGTCTTTCTACTGTTCGTAATCAATTGTAAGATGTTTGAAGGTTTATAACTACTATATTATCGATACTAGTTTTGTCAGCTCCATATGAGATTTCCCATTTTCTGTTAGTAGTAAGATAACGGACGTTCGTAATTTAACATTATCGTTAGGCGTGAATGGCTGTCAAAATGTTAGGAAGGAAACACTGCACTGGGAAATCTCTAAACTGATTCACCAGTCTGTATAGAGAATGAATGAGAATGAATGAATGCAATCTGATGATTGATGGACATCGACATAACGTATTGTTGAATGTATTAGTGTAATGGTGCCATTAACATTAAGTGTGCGTGTCAGGTTTGTGTGTGTGTGTGTGTGTGTGTGTGTGTGTGCAGCAGAGCAGTCAGAGATCCAGCCTGGCAAGCTGAACGCGTGGATGAGCTGCTCTCGTGTTATTGCTGACGTGTTGCACACTAGGGCCACCACACTCTCACGCCACACAACAGCAGTCGACCGCCATCGCGTTGACGAGGCTTGGTTGACGCACCAAATACACGGTAGACAGTATATTTGGCTAGAATGGTGTTGATTATGAATCGTGTAGTGCTTTTGATTGTCTTACCGTATAGTGGATCTGCAACGTGTCTCCCATTGTGGAGAGTACGGAGCAAGTTTCGGGTTTCAGCTTGGGGCAAAATAGTTGACCGTTAGTATTGATTTTGTTCAACGCATCGTTAATGTTGCATGGAGCATAATAGCTTTCCACTCACCAAGGTCTCCACCTG